GTGTCCCCGTGCCAGTTTGCGCGAGAAACCGGGCACCGCCCTCGCCCAATTCTGGGGAGGGAGCGGCTTTGCTCCGTGTGCCAGTGCGGCGGAAACTACGGCTCTGGCCGCGGCTTTGCTCCGTGTCCCCGTGCCAGTTTGCGCGAGAAACCGGGCACCGCCCTCGCCCAATTCTGGGGAGGGAGCGGCTTTGCTCCGTGTGCCAGTGCGGCGGAAACTACGGCTCTGGCCGCGGCTTTGCTCCGTGTCCCCGTGCCAGTTTGCGCGAGAAACCGGGCACCGCCCTCGCCCAATTCTGGGGAGGGAGCGGCTTTGCTCCGTGTGCCAGTGCGGCGGAAACTACGGCTCTGGCCGCGGCTTTGCTCCGTGTCCCCGTGCCAGTTTGCGCGAGAAACCGGGCACCGCCCTCGCCCAATTCTGGGGAGGGAGCGGCTTTGCTCCGTGTGCCAGTGCGGCGGAAACTACGGCTCTGGCCGCGGCTTTGCTCCGTGTCCCCGTGCCAGTTTGCGCGAGAAACCGGGCACCGTCCTCGCGCAATTCTGGGGAGGGAGCGGCTTGGCTCCGTGTGCCAGTGCGGCGGAAACTACGGCTCTGGCCGCGGCTTTGCCCCGTGTGCCCGTGCCAGTTTGCGCGAGAAACCGGGCGCCACCCCCGCCCAATTCTGGGGGGGGGGAGCGGTTTTGCTCCGTGTGCCAGTGCGGCGGAAGCGGAGGCTCTGGCCGCGGCTCTGCTCCGTGTGGTGTCCCCGTGCCAGTTTGCGCGAGAAACCGGGCACCGCCTCCGCCCAGTTGATTCTGCGATGCTTCGGGCCACGATTTTGGCCCGTTCCCGCGCGAGACCCCACCGGCCGGGCAACGCCTTGCGCCGCCCGGTTGACTCTGGGAAGCTTCTGGCCGCGGCTTTGCTCCGTGTCCACGTGCCAGCTTGCGCGAGAAACCGGGCACCGCCTTCGCCCTTTTGTATGTATTCCGGGAAGCTTCTGGCCATGGTTTTGCTCCGTGGCCCCATGCCAGTCTGCGCCCGCGAGAAACAAATCCGGCACGCGGCGGCCCGTGGCGCCGCCCGCCGAGCCTTGCTTTGGACGCTAGCAGATGGCGCGCAGACCTTTGCAAGCCTGCGCCAGCCGGATGGAATCCCGCGACCAAGCCACCGACCTTTTGGAAGCCGGTGGCGGAGTTTTGGGGGCAATTGGCGGGCGTTTCATTTTTTGGAAGCCGCTGGCGGACTTTTGGTCGAAAGTCGCTGGCGGGCCTTTTGCGCTTAACTCTGCACCAGCCGGACTCCTGCAAGCTTCGCGCCAGCGTTTGGAAGCCGGTGGCGGGGTTCTGGAAGTCGGCGGCGGGCGTTTGGAAGTCTGTGCCGGCCGATACCTATCCGACCGCCCCCGGCCCGCAAGCTTCGCGCCAGCTTTTGGAAGTCGCTGGCGGACTTTTGGAAGCCGGTGGCGGGCCTCTGAAAGTCGCGGGCCGGTGGGCTCGCTCACTCTTGGAAGCCGGCGGCGGGCTTTTATTTGGAAGTCTGCAGCGGCCGGAATCTAGCAGGCTTGGCGCCAGCCTTTGGAAGTCGCTGGCGGACTTTTGGAAGCCGGTGGCACACCTGTGGAAGCTGCCCCCGCCCTTGCAGAAGTCGCCGCGCCTCCCGCTTTTGGTCATTGCGCCCGGGCCTTTCGCGTGCAGTCTGCTCAGCCTGCACCGTCCGGAACCCCGCAAGCTGATGGCCAGCCTGTGGAGAGCGATGCCGGGCAGTTCCAAGGCGCCCCCAGCAAGCCTGCCAGCCAGCCGCGGCGGCCAGGCTGCTGCCTGGCTTTTGGGCAGTCAGTGAAGGGCCGCGGACTTTTGAGAGCCGGCGCCGGCAACAATCCAGCGGGCCCGATGGCTTTTGAAAGTCGGCGCCAGCAGGACTCCGGCGGGGTGTGTGGCTTTGTGTTGCCGCGCTGCGAAGCTTCGGCGCTCTGCTTCTGATCGTCCAGAGCAGACGCATTGGCAAACTATGTCGCATCTGCTGGACGAGTCGGGTAGAGTCGGGTAAGGTCGCTTTCCCTTTCCCGAGCTATGTGCCCGACTTTACCCGACTCAAAACCTACCCTGGACCCGACTTTTACCCGACTCTTCACCCGACTCCACAGCTCGTGTTTGTTTCTTTACCCGAGCTGTATCGGTCGGCTGAGGAGTCGGGTTGAGTCGGTTCCTGGGTCGGTTCCTGGGTAGGCTGTACCCCCCCCCCTCTTAAATCCACTGTCCCCTCGTGTTACCTACCCTGGAACCTACCCTGGAACCTACCCTGGATCCGGGGTAGAAAACTCAGATTTGGGTAGTTGCTGCAGTTTCAATAGTAATCATTTCCACTTTGAGGATTTCCAACCTGAGGCTGTCATAGACGATATGGCTCTCGTCCTGGCCGTCTGCAGCTGGTGCACCCTGATGTCCCGCCGAGGCCGCCGCACTAGAAGTAGGATCTTCATTAGTTGCATCATCTTCAACTTTGTCAGATTCGACGGCAGGGATAGTGGTCGCCGTAGAACGGGCTCGCGCAGCAGCAGCTCCCGCAGCCCCCTCAACTACAACCGCTCCGGTAGTTCTGAACAAGTACTCTGCCCGAAACGCTAGCCCGATTGCCGCGTGCCAGAAGGGAAATTTGTTGGAATAATGCGCTGCGAACAGCAAACTGCGGACGCAGAACAGCCGCAGGGGCTGCTTCACCTTCGTGTCCGGAAAGGGGTGCAGGGGGTGGCCAAGGCCCTGGTTGGTGAAAATCAAATCTTCGGCGCAGTACGACACCACGTCCAACGGCGCGGGCTTCATGTCCTGCAGGGTGGCGTCGGCAGTGGCTTCGTCGACGATTTCGTCGATGGAGACCGGGAGACCGCAGATGGTGCGTGTCGTTTGCTCCATTCGCATTCCATTTTCAGTTCCAGTTCCGCTTTCACCAGGAGAAAGATCACGGTCGTCTTCACGGAGGTGGAGACCCAGCGCGGACTGCAGCGCTTTCTTCGGTATGCAGTGTTCAATCTTTCGGAGTAGCACGCTTTAGTTCAAAAAAGTTTTATGCGATAGCAGGCGCATGATCATGACGAGGAGCAAGCACAAGCTGTTTATTTAAGACCAGATGTATTAATTGAGAATGAGAAGACATGCCTGAAAATGGAACCTGCCTGGTCCCATCGGCGAGCTCAGTTGTCCAGCATCCACACCTCCTTCATACGAGTGTCACAGTCAGAGGTGAGGACGTCGCAGGGTCAGCATAATCACGCTACTTTGAAATGTATGAACACCGAGTATCCCCATATGAGAGTGCACAACTACTCCCCCTCCCCCTTCATTCGTCATGCATACCCGACTGCACCACATCAGTGCATAAATTTGTCATGCAGAGGCTCCACGTGTGCCTGTGCTTGTATTGTTGTTCACGCGCACATACAAATGAGGGGGAGGGAGAATGTGCACTCTCATACCCCAGCTCCGGCCGTACTGTGATTCTCGCCTCGCAATGCGTTTTTGTTGAGGTCCATCAGGTATGAACAGAAAAAGCATCGTACTCGTATAAATGCATTACAAATTTCCTCAGCATCAGAAATCAGATTTGTAATGCAGATTTGCCTTGAGAACAAGATTTGCAATGCAAGAGCTGCATTTATACGAGTACGATACTTTTGCACAGGATATCAGAAACAGGGACGAGAAGCAGGTGTCGTCGTTTTTCGCTTGTTCTTCCTGAACAGGAGAAACTCCATCCGGAAGATCCCCAGCTTTGCCATGCTGGTCCTCCGCCTCCTCGCCGGCTTGATCCACAGGAATATCATTATCGTCGTGCATCCTTCCGAAGTCCACGAAAGGCGGCCCCACCCTGTTCGCCCTCTGCGTCAGCGCCGGGCGGTGCGCGAACGGGAAGTCTGGGAACTCAAACGCGTAGGATACTTTATCCTGCCACAACTTCCGGACAGCGTTCAGGCGCATAGAGTATTTCAGACGGGATAGGAGTAAAGCATTTCTTCTTCTTGCGGGAGCGGAGGCGGCAGTTGCAGTTGGGTCCAGAAGATTTTCATCTTCGCCGACTTGTTCTTGTGCATCACTTTTCTCTTCGCCATCCTCATCCATGATATCCCTGACCGCTTTCAAAACGCGCAGAAAGAGTCGAAGCTGGAAGCGCAGCAGCAAGCTAGAAGAGAATGGTGCCGGCTGCTGTATGGCCGAGCGGTTGATTTGATGTTCATCCACGACACCGCCGATCGCTGAGTGCAAACACTGTTTTGGCACGTCAATTTTCTCCATACCAGGAATGTTCACGAAGCGGTCATAGCTGGCGCAATTGGTATTCATCACATCATCGTCCGGGCTCCTGCGCGGAGATTCCCGCGCCGGCCCACAGTCCGAGAAAACCTCCAACAGCACCCTCAGGTCGTGCGCGGAGACCCAGCCGCAAGGTATCTGGGTCTCGTCCGTTCGAAGATCCGCGTGGACGTGTAGAGAAGTCCCACCCGCTATGAAAGTGTAGAACTCCCCCTCCCCCTCATTTGTGTTGCATGAACAGCAACGCAAGCGCTGGCAAAGATGCAGCTTTTGCATGGCAAATTCCTAGACGATTGTAGTGCTGTTTTGGATTCCGGAATCTGTCATGCAAGCGGTGCTAACAGGGAAAGGGTGGATTTGGTATTTTGCATGACAAATGAGGGGGAGGGAGACGAGTTGTGCACTTTCATACCCGCAGCGTGGTCGTTGCCCGCGTGAAAGAAGGTTCTGCCGGCAAGCTGTCTGATAGTAGTGCTGCTCTGTGCGCCGTGTGCTGCGGCGGTTTTTCGCAAAGGAACGGTACCGGTAGCATCATCATCGTCTGGGTAAAAATCCTGCGCGCGGCCATGATCTACTGCTAAATCAAAATCCGTACTACTACCCAGCGCCACCCCGCTCATTTCTCCGACTGCGTTATCGAGGTTGATTTGCGCATAAATGCGGTGAATCGCGAGCGAAAGGAGGAGCATAAACTCGCTTTCTCCGATCTTGCATCTGGCAAAGAATTCCTTCCGCAGGAAAGACCGGAGGAGGTGCTGTTTCTTTTTCGGGGGAAGAAGATGCGGGTTAGAGTACTTGTGGTCATTTTTCTTTTTGCCTGTTCTCGATCTCGACACAGGAACACTGGCGGCGGTTTTCTGCAGGAAACGCACGAGAAAGGGCGCTGACTTCTTCGCGCTGAGCTCTTCGTCCATTTTGTTGGTTATGGTGTGAATCACCTCCCCACGCATCACCTCCCCACCTCCCTACCTCCCCACCCTGGGGAGGTGCCTCCCCACGTGTGGGGAGGTACCTTTCCAATAGTGGGGAGGTGGGGAGGTACTTCCCCACCTCCCCACCTCCCTGTCGTCCAACACTTCCCCACAGCGCTGCGCCTCCCCGTGATGGTCGACCAGAACGCGAGGACTACGTCTGGATGCTTGCTGCTTGGCTTCTGTGCCATCGATCTACCTCGCGGCCATGAAGCCAGGCATCTGCCACAACGCACATGAGTCCGCATCCCGCGGCCACCAAGTGGCGGCCGGCGGCCCTAAGATGGCGAACATGGAACGACCCAGACACCCGCAAGGCAATGCCACAAGGAGTCAAGGCACGGAAGCACGCCCGGGGCATAGGGCGCACAACATAAGGACCAAGGAAAAGCGGAATCCAGAAGGGTGGCGCGCACGGGCGGAGAGGTAGCAAACAACAGGGGGAGGAGAGAATCGTCGAGGCCAGCCGGCGCGACGGCGCCGTCGCGCCGGCTGGCCTCGACGAACCCAAACCCCGAACCCTAAACCCTAGACCCAAACAACCAAGGCCGCAGTCGGCTCTGCTTCTGCATCACCTCCGGCCGTTGCGGTGGTGATGCGACCGCATCACGAGGTGATGCGGGGGAGGTGGGTAGGTGATCCGGGTGGGGGGGTGATGCGTGGGGAGGTGATTCAAAGGGGTGGGGAGGTGATTCACACTCCTACCCATTTTGTTCTTCTGGTCAGTTGTACTGGTGGTTCTGTCTCGACCACCCCACCGCTTAACCTTGACCCATTCGTGGTTAAGCCACCCGCTAAAAAGCTGCAGGGACGTTTCATACGAAGGCACCGCTCGCACGACGTCCTTTTCCGCGACCCAGTTTGCCTCTTCGACAGCGCGAAGAAGGTCGTAGGTGAAGTTTGGGAGTGGCGGACAGTAGGTTCGTGTCCTCCCCGAGGACGCCGATGAGTGCTCCGACAGTTTTTCGTCGCTTGTTTGTTCCGCGTCAGGCTCCTCAGGGTTAAAACCCGCTTCCACTTGCGTCGTGTCAGGCGTGTCATCTTGATCTGCAGGCACTTCGCCAGCTAACGTCGTGTCGAGTACTTCTGTTGCGAATGCAAACTTTGAAAATGTGGTCGAGTTCTTCACGATGTTGAAAACCTCAGAAGTCTCTAGTAAAGGCACGGAGTTCAACAACAGCCAAGTAGGAAGGGCGAGTGATAGTGATACTGAAGAGAAAAAACTTCTACCTGATACAGATAGTACGCATAGCCATGAAAGGCGTGTCATTATGAGGGCGAGTTGTTTTGCGACTAGAAGTTTCACGGGCAATCAATTTTGGCACGGAGTTTCTTTTCATTGTTGCAATAAGTCGAAACTCAAATGCCTCGACAGGCAAGACACTGTGACACTGCGACTGCTCCGAGGTGGATGAAAGCGACATATTAATGAAGACATGGGGAACCTCCAGAATAAAAAAAAGCTTCTACTTGTCGTCGCAAAACAAGAACATGCGGCATGGGATCCGAAAACAACTCCAACGGAAAGAAAAGTGAGACGGCATATTGACGTTGAAAAAGAAAGTATCCCTACCACCTACATCAACATCGAGGAATAGGTTTTGTTCTTCTTTTGTTCATTTTTTTAAGTCGCTATGCAACGACTTTTCCCAAAATTTTTTAGTTATTCACCCGGTTGAAGATCATGATCTTCATGCCGAATTAGCTTCGATCGAATGTCTCCTCCTCGACCGATTCCTTTACTTGTCCTTCGGTAGCCCCGTGCTTGGGTCGAAGAAGGTTCGCGCGTCCATGAAGATCATAAATTCTTCTGACCACTGCAAAAGATTCGGGTCCCAGATGGTGATGTCGTCCCGGATGAATTTTTCATTTCCGCCGTTGTCCTTGTTCATCTTCTTCCCCTTTTTATTTCGCGACTTCCTTCTCCGCGTCGATTCCGCGATGGCCGCGCGCGCCTCTTCGTTATCCAAGCTAACCGCGTTCAAGAGCTGTGCCCGTTTGGGGTTCTTCGTGCTGGTGATGATGCCTCGGGGCAGGCTGGCTGTTTTGTTCCTCGTCTTTGAAGATGTTGTTGTCACAGAGGTTGCATTCTTAGCAACATTCGAGGAGGAGGCAGCCCCAGAAACCGTGCTGTTTGATGCATGTGACGATCTTGCAGGAGCAGCTCCTCCCGGTTCCAAGTGCCACATGTACAACTCCAGCGCGTTCACTTCCTTCATTGCTTGCCGAGTCGCCTCATCCTGTGCAAAAATATCGTACTAGTACAGATTGCAATACAAATTTCCTTGGCATGAGAAATGGAATTTCAATTTGTGGTCATGCGGATTTGCCTTAATAAAAAAGACTTGTAATGTTGCAAGACCTGCATTTATACGGGTACGATACTTTTGCACAACATATGCCTCCCAAAACTCCTTCAGACGGCACATAGAGAATCCATGAGTAGACCTACCGCACACGACGAAGTAGACTATGTACAGCTACAGTTCGATCGCAACGACGCATCACCGTGGCGGCTTACAGTTACACAAATAAACAAAGTGCAGCATGAGAAGATCTGGATCTTCAAACTGCGAGACCACCACGGCTAATAGCTTAGCGTAAAATGAAATTTGTCATGCATCCCCTGTCGAAACTGTAACTGTGACGTGATTTTTCTCATGTGCGGTTGTAAATTTACGTTCCATACGCCGTAATCCTTTTCGATAAACTCCTTTCTCTGCCAATCCTGCATAATCGTGTAGCGGCTTGTCCTATCCGGTGCAAAAGTTCTTGTATCGCAATCGCGATGACTCGTACTACTTAAATGGACTGTTGCAGCATGATCTCCTTTTCTTAGGCTATTTAGTCAGCATGTTCAAAAATTCCGCTGGTTTTATCGCGCCAACGGCAAAATCTAAATCTGATTCTGATGCAATGCAATTGATTTATATAACGACACGAGCTGTGCGAAGAAAGATGCTTTTGCAGTGCATATTTCAGCGACAGTATCTATCCTGAGTAAAAACGTACCCACACCAGCGTCAGGATGGGGATTTTGCAACACAAACCTAGGTAGGAGTTTTGTGAGTCACGCATGACAAGTTGCGCTATGCAGTGCAGTGCAGGTTAGCAAGTGCGGCCGCATCGCGGATTCATCTGCTCATCCTGTTCACAGCATCACAAATTCCAAAACACAATTGGAAACGGCTCTCATGGGGATGCGCATTACAAGTCTTCCTGTCTTTGCAAATCTGCATTACAACTCTGGTGTGGGTACGTTTTTACTCAGGATAGTATCAGCTGCAGGTAGTTTTCTTCAAATTCCGGCGTATCCTTGATACTTTCGTACACGTCATCTTTTTCTAAATCTGCCACCTCCAGTATGAGAGTGCACAACCCCCCCTCCTCCTCACTTGTATTACATGTACAGCAATGCAAGTGTCAGACTCAGAGTCAGCAAGAAAAATAGAGGTTTTGCATGACAAGTTTATTGGACAGGAGTGTAGTGCTAGTATTTGGGCTGCCACAACTTGTCATGCAAAAAGTGCCAAGAGCCAAGGCGTAAATGAGGTATTTTGACTGACAAATGAGGGAGAGGGGGAGTTGTGCACTGTCCTATCCAGCGTCCGTCCGAGCCGTTGCTCCGCTGCGGTAACTAGCTTCCGCGCCACCTTGCCCTTTTTTGCCTGGTTTCCTGCCTGTTTCTCCGCCCGCGCCGTTCTTTTCTTCTTCATCAGTTTTCCCGCCTTGTCACAGTCCGTCACTCTGGCGAATTGCTGCTCCAGCCATTTGCTCCTCACCACTTGCAGTGGCTGCAGCGGCGAATACGCCGTGATCACGATCTGATGCTCGTTGCAGTAGTGCACGATATCCTTGGCTTTTTGTTGTTCCTTTTTCACGATCTTTCCCGTTTCTGCGTCCACCGTCTCCTCGATGTCGAATATTTTCGGGTCGCCCATCATGCCCTTGAAAAACGGGTGAAATTGAAACTGATTCACGCTTATGCAACATTGCAAACGTATCGCAGCAGCACAAATCGCATGCGCATGACAAGACTTTTATGTCAAGGGAAAAACAAAATAAATCGAATCTGCAGTGCTGATGTAACTGTAGATGCAAGATTCGTCTTGGTCTTCATGCAGAAGCAGAAGTGTGTTGATGCATTTTGTTGATTTTACTACAACTTGCTCTGTTACTACGATATTCTTTTACAGAAGATAACGGTAGGTAGCTCCAAGTTGAACTGTTTCAGACGGTCCAGCGCTTTTACGCTCCAGTTGCTTACGCCGATGGATTTCACGAGCCCTTCCCGTTTCACGAACATCAGCGCCTTCCAAAACGGAACCCAGTGCCGCTCCTGAGCCGGCATGCTGTGTGCGAGAAGCATGTCGAGTTTGGTAGCGTCTTCGTCTTGTTCAGCAGTTTCGTCGAAATCCTCGTAGTTATGTGGTTGTTGTTCAACGCTCGTACTGGATGTTGCCGGGCGTTCACCAGTTTGGTCTTTGCGATCATGCACCTGCACCGCGGCAGGACCACGAGCGCCGGGTAGTCCTTTCTGTTTCTTGATCTTCCCGCCGGCAATGAGTCCTAACTGGGACCGCGACTCCTGCACCTTCCTGTAAATAAGCCAGTTCAACTTGTCTTGCCCCTTCTTGTTCTGCGCGGCCATCCAGACGTCCCGTTCGTCCACCTGGTCCAAGGATTTTTCCTCCTTTTTGCGGTAGCTTTCCGGCAACGGCTGCAAGGTCACAGGATCCATGCGCACGTAGGCCACGCCCGGCTTCGGGTTGGTTGTTTCCGCGCCGCTTTTCGGGAACTCCCTTTCCAACAGCATCCGCACGTCGTCGTCACTGGGCTCCACTTTGGTGGTGATAAACAGTATCCCGTGTGAAAACATCCCCGCCCCAGAGCTGTCATGCAATTCTGCATGCCGAAAAAGTTTCTCATGCGGAGCCCGATGAGCAGCGTTCTCTGTTCGTGTTTTGGAATAATTTTTGATGCTAGGATCAGCCTTCTATGCTAGATCTGTGACGTCGCTTCTGAACTAGCTAAACAGGAATACACTATGAGGACAAACTTGCCATGCCAAACAACCAAAGCTGGTTGATTTGTCTAGCAGATTTCCCATCTTGACTCTGGTGCGGACACGTTTTTATTCGGGATAAACAGGTCCTGTCTCCCAATGTACGGCTTGTGCTGGGCGAAAAAGGACTCCAAAAAGGTTCCCAGCCAGTCCTCTATGCATTGCAAAAGTATCGCACTCGTATACATGCATTACTCAGCATGAAAGATAAAATTTGTAATGCGAATTTACCTTGAGTAATGCATGACTGCAATACGAGTACGATACTTTTGCACGGGATATCCTCCCCGTACCAAATGGCGGAATCCAGGTCCCTATCAAATGCAAATATGTCTGGGTCTGGAAATTTGTGACGCTAAAATGTGCAAGAGGAAAACGCTTCCTTATGCAGAAAAGCATGACAAGTTTGCAGAACGCTTTCCCATCCGGAGTCCGCATTGGAAACTGCGTTTTTGTATGACGTGAGAGGCTACCACTTTTGTTGGTCACGCAATACAGATTTCACAGGAATGCAAGACCAGCATGACAACTTTCATCTTTCCAGACCCAGACATATTTACATTTGGTAGTGCCGGATGTGCCCCAGGAGGATGGCGTTGGCGAGCGCTTCCGTAGTCGTACCCGTACCGGTGTATGCTCTGCAAAAGTATCGCACTCGTAGTAATTGCAATTATGCACGACAAATTTCTTTCTCAAGGGAAATCAGCATGAGAAATTTCATTTGTAATGCTGAGCAAATCTGTCATGCAATTTATACTAAGTACAAAACTTTTGCAGTTCATACGGTGCCGAACGCAACCAAAGGCATTTGGTTGCCGTCGTGCAGGACCACTCTCCGGAGCTGTTGGGCGATTTTTTGCTTTTTTACCAGTTTTGCTTTTTCCGCTTCTTCTTTGGCCTCCCACCGTTCGTTCCCATCTTCGGGGTAGCTCCAAGCCCGAAATTTTTGCGGGATCAGGGTTTGGTTGGACTTCGGAAGGGCAGCTGCCTGGGCTTCAATGGACCGGACCAGTTTCGTGTAGTTTCTTCCGTCCCCATCGTACCACTGAATCTGCCAGTGTATGCAAATTGCAATAGCGTCGTACAACTCGTTCTCGTAAAATAAGTATGCAATACACGAAAGCGGATGGATAAAGCATGCCAGATGCGCGTTGCCGCTCCTTTCTGCTTGTTCTGCATGAGCATGACAACTTATTGTGACAAAAATGTTTACTGGTACGACTACGACAGTTTTGCCAAAAAATCTCCATGCATACCATGCTTATCTTTTTCCATCTGCATCTGGAACGTGGCGGGCGGTATGAGTCGGTAGGGATCGTCCAAGGTCGTCGATGAGGCTCCTATTACCTTCTTCCTGGGCAACCTGGAGGAAGAGGATTTCCCGTCTTGCGGGGGAGGTATGCAGTGCAAAAATTTCACCACCTTGTGAAAGTAGCAGAAATCGGAATTATCGCATGAGTACACATTTTTTTTTCAAATGAAAGCATAACGCTTTTATGTTTAATAAATATTTCTTCATGCAAATTCAGGCATGAAGAAGGAAAAAAACCTCCGTATGCTACATTGCAAAAATTTCTCTTACGAGCTGCGCAATCAATACAACCAACTTTTGCATCGAGGATAAGATTTTCATCAACTGCTTCGGGTGGGGGCTTGCACCAGCGCACCCCGTTCCCACTGCCTTGCGCGAAACTGTGCTCCTTTCTCCAGCGGGTCCTGACCACGGCCCAAGGCGGTTGCCGGCCACCGCGCAACAGCGGCTCCTCCGATCGAATGCGCGTTTGGTGCCGGGCTTCGTACAGGCCGAACAGGGTGGGGATGATTAGCATGGCCGACATTTGGAAGAGAACCTTGTTTCTCTCGCTGCGGTCAATGAGGAAAGAGTCCTGAACCTCCTGGGCAAACTCGAAAACGGGAACAACAAGCGTCTTGATGTGTTTCTTCTTCGTCCACGCTTTCTTCAACAGGATCCAAAGGTCGTCAGAGATGAAGTACTCAAAGTACAAGCAAGTTCCCAGGAAGAACAAGAAAAGGAACTTTATAAGGAGAAAATCGATTTCCTCTATGGAACTGTCAGGATCGAAATCTACACAGTTGAAATGATTTGTCATGCATAAAATCGATGCCAGTTGTAACCCAGTTTCCAAGTGGCGCATGACAAATCTGGGTAGAACCGAAATCCAGTTTGTCATGCTGTTTGGGTGAGGGAGACGCCATTTGTCATGCTACTTTAGCAGCTCCATTTCTACCCTCAACAAGCTTGCAATCTGTCTCACTTGCCTACTCTGCAAGACAGGCACTTCGTGGGTTGCATTTTATGCATGACAAACTTTTTCAACTTTGACGATTTCGATCCTGACACCCCCATATCCTCGCACCATCGCGTTGAGGTTGTCAATTGCTGCCAGAGCCGCCCCAGGGAGAGCCACCAAATCATGTCCTTGTTTTGAAGATAGGAGAACTACTAACTGGCTCACTCGCAGCACAGCCACAGGAGCGAGCGTGGTGTAGTTGGTTTCTCGGGCTTTGTAAAAAACTTTTTGTTTTTACTTGTTCGCTACTTGAATTAGAATTTCCAGCCTCCGTCTTACTCTCACCATTTCTGGGTGACGATCAGGATCACACGAAAAACAAAAAATGTCTCGGATCATCAGCAACGAAAAAGCTATGCATATGGAGATCATCATCTTCTCATCATCCGGGATCTCAGCGAGAGCGACGGTCGTGCACGCAAAAGCAAAAAAAAAGATCTTTAATGTCGTCTGAGATGTGCACCAAAACCACAAGAGGTCTGCTCCGCGTACTTGTGCACGGGTCATCTAGAACAAGGTGGATAAGTAATCTTCAAAACCAACAAGAAAGTAGCACCAACAAGCTACACATGATGATGTGTAATATCGGAAAATTGTGATCGCTGATGTTGCAAAAATTGGTATAAAAACCGGCCGCTATCAGGGGGAACAACTTATCCAGCATTGGAGCCAAAAAATTCTGCAGACATAGCGCCGACTTCAATGTCTAGCTTTCAATAATTTTGTTTTTGCTTCTTTTTTTTCTTCATCTTTCATACGGGTTACGTGTAGTTTATGAGCAATCACGATGTGAAGGTTCGAGGTGAGAGGCAGCATCAAAGCTGCGTTCTCCTGTCTAGGTTTGTACCGACAAGAACCCGGACCACGCGGGCGTACTGGCGGACTGAGTTTGTGTACCATGATTGCAGTTGTAGTTGTTCCTCAAAATCTAGATCATCTTCGTGGTGTTTTGTCTTTGTAGTTGTACCACCGGTTCCTACATCGGGTTGTAGAAGGAGATGCTTCTTGAATGATCATCCGGCAGCAGTGCTGACGCTTGTCACTTGTGGTAGAGGTAGTCGATGAAGTAGAGGATAGAAATGTGGCACAACGCTTGATCTGCTTCGGGGGGCTCTTCTTCAAATAAAGTCTTTACACATGCAGTGCACGACGACGAGAGATTGATGTCGCAGCACCGCGTAGCAGCTGCTACTAGCAGCTTGTCTGTCACATGATGTTGTTCGTGGTAGATAGAAGCATGAGGGAGTGGAAAATTATTTTCGTGGGAAAGGAAAGTAGGAAGAGGTTCGCGAACTACCATCGGGGTTTGTCATCTTCTTCGGTGACCAAATCAGGAGCTGGTGCGGCAAGAAGCAGATGAAGATGAAGAACTTCTGAGCGAACGAGTAGATGATCAAGTGCATTTAATATTTCTCCCTACGCCCCCGCCGCTGCGGTCGTCTGCTCCCCAGCAGGTGCACCACTTTCACTACTGCTCCCCTGCTTCTTTTTGTAGTCGTCAATCGCCGCCTGGATTGCCCTATCAAATGTAAAAATGTCTGGGTCTGGAAGAGTCATGCCGTTTTTGCATGACGCAGAAGGTTTGGCATGGAAGCTCTAGCATCAGAGGTTTCGAGAAGCTTCCGCCATGCCGAATCCGCATGACAAATCCCCCATTTTGGTGACAGAAAGTGTGCAGCTTTTGCTAGCTATGCATGAGAGATCTTTCTGTGTTCTGAAATGCGCATCACAAGTTTGTATTCTTCCAGACCCAGACATTTTTGCAATGCATACGCCTCCTCGGCCAGCACCGAGCAGTGGATTTTCACGGGCGGGAGGTTCAGTTCCTGGGAAATGTCTATCCTGTGCAAAAGTATCGCATTCGTAGTAATTGCAGTCATGCATTACAAATTTTTTTCTGAAGCTAAATCCGCATTACAAATCTTATTTCTCATGCTGAAGAAATTTGTAATGCATTTATACGAGTACGATACTTTTGCAATGCATAGTGTCCGTGTTTTTCAGCTGCGCCGCCTGCTCAATTTTCTTCCCGCGGATCATTTCCGTGGCTAAGCTGCTGGACGCAATGGCCGAGCCGCAGCCGAAGGTCTTGAATTTGGCGTCTTTGATCTGACCAGTCGTTTCGTCCACCTCGATATGGATTGCATAAGTGTCTGGGTCTGGAAGATTTCTAGATTTGTCATGCATATTTTCCATGACCCACGACGTCTGTGATGCATGCTGTAGCATCACAGATTTTTAGAGCGCTCTGTGATACCTCTACCGCATGAGAAACGCCCTCTCCGCGTAGCACAAATTGGAGTCCTCTTGCTCGTCATGCAATACAAATTTTTTCAGAATCCAGAGACAGCATTACAAATTTAGAATGTTCCAGACCCAGACATTTTTGCAATGCATACTCGATTTGTAACTTAATCACATCACCACAGGACGCTTTCCCCACCAGCGCGGAGCCGACGTTTTTCTTCTTGCTATCCAGTTTCCCGACGTTTCTCGGATTGTTAAAATGGTCAATCACGGCCTCGTGGTAATTGCGCTTCTGAGTTTGTATCGCGGAAGCGGTTGTCGTACTATGTGCTCCACCTCCTGGAAAAGATGTTGATACAAGTGCGGGTCTGCATATTTGATGTGCCGCTGTTGAGGTTGATGTCGTCAACGTTCTACTGCAGCCCGCTGTGGTGCGCAGGACCAAGTCCGCAGCCGCTCGTCGGGATTGGATGAACATGGCTTTGTATATGCTTCTTGATGCACAAGATCTAGGAACAGAAGGTGAAAAAAAAAAGGACTGTCAATCGATCACTTGAACTGCAACTACAGTTCTCTTGTGCGACTTCTCCTAATAGAGGGCAACTCTGAAAAAAAAGAAAATCTCGTGCTGGCGATCGGAAATTATCAGGGAAAAATACTCTTCGCTACACTAATACAAGGTGCCAGTACAGGTCGTCGTGATAGATGGAATAATACGGTAGTTTCTTGTGGGTAGGAGTTCGTTGTCGTATTTTCTTATGCTCTGTCGTACTTATGCTAGTATTTCGTGTCAACAAGTATGTATTTGGGCTAACGGGTTGTACGGGTAGCTTTTTCAGTTGCTTGTCTCCTTTAAGCACCTGGGGGTGAGAGGTAGGGATTCAGAATTCATTTTGTTTTTTTGAGCAGATGCAAAGCAAGGCAGAGAACATACGACAAATCAAAGTATAATTTGAATTTCCGCTACGTACGATTTAGATCTCGCTGGCTTTTGTAAAGTTAAATCTCGGACTTCAAATTTATTTCTTTGTCTCGTTCTCGACCACAGCCACAGGCACAGAGTACATCAATTGCTAGCTCGCATTTCCGATCGTGAGCAGCGTTGCTGCATTCCGCAAAGGCAAAAAAGTTCCGAGACAAGGACGACCGACACGCTCTCATTTTCAAACATTCACATTCTCAAAACAACCGAGACTGTGTAGGAGTCGTGCATTTTCGTTCTTTATTTGTAGCGACACAGACGAACAACACGGAGATCGATTCTATGTACTTGTCATGCTGCGTTCTTAACAGGACAAACACAAACGTGCGCTGTGCTGCGATATTTTTCTGGCTTTCACTTTTAGCATTTCTTTCTCGTTTATTTTCGTCCATCAGCAGGATGTTGAAGTGCCACTTTTATTTACTAGTCAACGTCATAATTGGAACCCCCGACGCTTTGCTCCACCAGCGGCTGTCTCCTGCGCAAAAGTATCGCATTCGTATTGCAGTCATGCATTACAAATATTTTTCTTAACGTAAATCAGCATTACAAGTTTTATTTTTCATGCTGAGGAAATTTGTAATGCATTTATACGAGTACGATACTTTTCCAATTCATATGCTGTCTATGCCTGTGCGTGCCTTTCCCGGGACCCTTTTTCGGGCAGTCATCCAGCCAGTGTGGGCTTTCCCCCGGGCAATTTCGGCACTCGATCATGCACGGATTTCCGAGCGCCTTGCATTCCGCCACGGTATGACTCGGCAAATTCTGCCAGGAAAGGCCCATCAAGTAGCAATTGCGACACCGTTTGCCAAAAATCGCGTAGCAGGCGTATTTTAAACGTTCGTCGTCTTGGCAGTGGAGCATCGCTTTCTTGCACTCGTCGAGCGATCCTGTGACAGTACGAAATATTAAAGCGGGGATGAAATTATCCTCTTCATCTTTTTTACATTTTTGCATTGTCAAACTCAAGTTCTGATGCCAATATACTACCGCTAGCGCTTCTACCTAGAGCACGGCAGCAGGACATTGCTGTCGTGCAGATTTACGTTTTCAAATCAAACTCAAAGTCAATCAGGTGCTATGGGTCGTATACCGGCCGCTTGCAGTTTTGTCATCACCTCGTCTACCTCTCCCTGATCCACTGGTCGCCCGTGGAAATTGTATTCTGGACTCGGATTCTGCACCTTCCTCAACGTAGTCCCATTGTTGCTGCCTCCTTTCGCGGCACTGCCCCCCACATTATCCTTCACCGCCCCGCCCTTGCCGCCTTTCCGCGCACTACTCGGCGCGCTGCCACCCCCCTGTTGCGGCGCCAGGTGGTCGAAGGGCACCAACCCGTAAGGGGAGGCGCGCTGCGTCGGCGCCGGGATTCGCGGGGGCCATTCGGCGCCGGTAGTTTCCCCTGTTTGGAGTGGATATCATTTCGAAAAGGAGTACAGAATTTTGTTCATCGAAATTATTTCATCTAGGTCTAGCATGAACACCAACAGGTAGATTACGTTCTTCGACTGTGAAAGACCAGGGAGATGACGAGTGATCTGAACATCTCGGGCCGCCGATTCAACAAGAATATGTAAACAAAGCCTAGACGGGGTAGTACTGCCAGGGGTGATCATGATCATGAACATGATGAGCGACAAATGACACCAGATGACAGTACGAGTTTTAAAAATACTCGAGGATGCCGCCGGGTTGGCGAAGTTTTTGAAGTTACTTGAACCCCCACCACTGTTCAGGTTTGCGTTGGCCGCTGGCCCAGTCGTGACCCGTCCACGGAGGAGGAGCTTCAGAAACCTCGTCAATTCATCAATGTCCTCGGTTGTGCAGTCGCCCAGCATCTCGAACAACTCCACGAGGTTCGGTGTCACGGACCGCAGGGTCTCGCCCATTTTTACGGGATAATTATACGGGAAAAAACAGCAGCAGCTTTTTGGCAATGAAGCCAGATGAAGATGAGCTTGCGCGGTAGCTGCAGGTGGAGATCATGAAATTTTAGGAATGCAAATAGAAATACAGATGTATTTTATCTTTATTCAGGTTGTGACTCACTGAACTTTTACTATCCTTCAGGTTATGGCTCACTGAACTGGAGCTCCTTCAGCAATGGTCGCACTAGCCCTAGCTATGGTTCTTCAGAATAAAATCTTCTTCTATGAGCAATCACTACTTAACTTCGGAATCGTGACCAGGGGACTCGATGATGAATAAAACGTGGCTGATGAAAAGTTGAATGAAAATCCTATTTGTGTTTATAGCGTTGTGCACGTGTGAGCGGACTGGTCCTTTCCATGAGCGAAAGGGTCGTATTGTCGTTTATGAATGTTTTTGTCGTTATGATAACTTGAAAATTTTCACCTCCATGAACTACCGAGGCCTATCTGGTAGTGTGTCGGTTTCTGCAAGATGCAAGTTTAACGCCGAGGACGCACGTGTTTGCTTGTCGCTCTTCTATAGAGCTATCTGTTAGGGCAAATAACGCAGGTGGGCAGTAGAAAGATGTAGAAGACCTCCATCATGTCCGTGATCCCTCCTGTTGGAGCATCTCCAGGAGCTGGAGGACGGAGGTGCCCGTCGTGCCAGAAAAACAGCCTACTCTAGATCTCTTGAAGAAAGGATCTTCTGCGGAAGTAGTCCAGCTGGTTGCGCGTGTTCCACTTCTTACATTTGTTTTATTCCAGAGCATGATCTTCGTGTTGATCAGAATCAAAAATAGACAGTGGACCCCCTGCGAGCGAAACAAATAGATGCAGAAGTTATCAGAAACAGAAACGAAAACGAAGTTGCGCTGTGGAAAAAGATAAAAGAGAAAGAACACGAGAACCACGTTGGTGATCTATGTTCTTACAACAGAAAAAAATAGAGAAGCATAAGCCCTGCTCCGAGAGATCTGTAGTTGTACAATGTCGACTTTAATTTTCATCAACAAACTCCTTCTTTGTAGCGTCATAGATTCGCAAAGACCACCGGCGCGAACGTGTAGTACTGACAGGCAGATACACGCCTTAAAATTGACATCGTTTTTGGTTTTGCGTGTTCTTGCTACCTTCAGAACGAACTACTCAATCTCAAGCTCAGCCAGTACCATTAGCAGGCGTCGCCGTGTTACGTCCTCGCGATCTCACGGAAATTTCATTCTTCTCGTGAAGCCGAAAAGCTCGAAACAACTGTCGATTAGACTGGACCCCCTAGAGCGAGGGCCCCCACTCGAGGTATCGGTGTGTCGTCATGCGCATAGAAAATAAGTAGAGTAATGGCATAATTTTTTGTGTTTTTCATTTTTTTTTCAACTTATCTTTCATTCGGATCATCTACATCTTCGCACTACCCTTGCATCTTCACTCGAAGCCTTGCCCACATCACCGATTCTCATCCCGCTGCTCAGAAAGCAAAGGGGTTCATTTCCGTCCTGTGCGGTGACGTAATTCCCTGGAGCTCCTCCGCGCTGGGGAAAATCTCCGGCGCTTTCCGTTGCACCGCGTCGGTTCCAGTGTATTTCCATTTCGTTTTCGACGTTGAAGAGGCAGCACCACCCCCGGATGCTGGTGGTGCAAGAACATTCGGTGCAGGCACAGGTAGAACGCCACTTACCGGTCGGAATAAAGAGCCCGGACCGGCGCCCGGAGCAGTGCCAGCAGTAGTTCCGTAGTTATACACCGCAGCCGGATCCAGTGATGAGGTCGAGTGAGGCACGACCGCCGGTCGGTGTGGATCACTCAACAACGACTGATGCCACAAAGCCGTGGGCGCCCCGGGGTGATGCGCGAAGAGCGAGGGGGCCGTGTGTAGTTGCAGAGATGGTTTTGCTTTAGTCTGTTGCTCGTATGGGTTTTCGTTGTTTTTAACCGCGTCGATGGAGTCGACGAGTGTCTCTTTTTTGCTCTTTTTTTTCTCCTTTTTGTCCTTTTTCTCTCTGTTTGTTCCTTCAGTAGCACCTGCCGCAGGCGCCCCGTATAATACCGTGTCCCCTTGTTGATGTGGTTCCTCATTTCCAGTATTGGTGCCGAAAAAATCCTTGTTCAGAAGTTTTTTCTATGAACTGCAAAAGTATCGCACTCGTATAAATGCAAGACAAATTCCCTCAGCATGAGCAATAAAATTTGCAATGCGGATTTACTCTGAGAAAAACATTTGTATATGCATGATTGCAATACGAGTGCGATACTTTTGCACAGGATATTTTCCGCTTCTTCCGGATTTGCTTCAGCTGCTGCTTCTTTTTGCTCTCGATCGCGTCGGAGTCCTCCGTTTCTGGGAAGTACAGGTCGAGATGAAGGTCTTCATCGGGGTCTTTGATGTTGGTGTTGTCCTTCATCTTCTCATCCGCCTGCTTCGCAGAACTAGTCGCTTGTTCGCCACTTTTGATCATGTCACCATCTGCGGTCTTCAAACCACTGTTTTCCGCGACACAACTTCGTATTTTCGGGTACAACATATCCACCGTTTCCTCGGTCTTCAAGTGGTACTCACCTCTTTTCTTCTCGTAATACGCCCGGTCTTCCTCCGTTTCGTTTAACAACGGAACCTGCCCCCAGTGATCCAGGAAGTCCAACTCCTGTTGGCCCCCGGAAGTAGATGAAGTAGAAACTATCCCCCTCTTCTCCTGCGTTTCGTGCACGAGATCCTTGCAAAGTTGTGTCGAGAATTCCGGCGGGTCGTAACTGGCGTAGGAAAGGAGGAAAATGTGCTGCAACCGCGCGTAAATTTGCCGCACCACAGCGGAGGACATCATCTGCTCCGGGGCGGCCCCCATGGTCATGGAAAGAAACGCCTTCAACGGTTGGCGGACCTGGAGGATCATGTTGGCGAGGTCTTGATCCAAAACCACGAATTTCCGTCTTTGATTTTCCAGCTGGACCTCTATCAAATGCAAATATGTCTGATAACAAGTCTGGAAATTTGTGATGCTAACACATGCGTCGCAAACTGACTCCAATACGCAGCTACGCATCAGAAATGTCTGAGCGGTTATGTTGTGCGTAACCCGCATGAGAAATCGCGTTTTTGCATGACAGAGGGTTGGCGCTATTCCATAACATGCATCACAGAGTCTAGGGGCATACGAGTTCAGCAATACAAGTCTCGCATTCTTCCAGAACCAGACATGAGAACATTTTTGCATTTGATAACCTCGAAACAGTGGCAATCCACGGTTTTCTTCTTCCTCGCCTGCGCCTCTTTGGGAACGAAAATCAGACTCTTCGCGTTTTCCTTTAGCTGCTTCTGCATGTTGGAGGAGAGTTTTAGCTGTTGCTGAGGGACGGGAGCAGCGGTCGTTGTACTAGAGGAAGCTGCTGCTACAGCTGCTGCGCCACTACTAGAGGCCGCGGCTGTAGTCGTTTGTTTCGACTGCGACGCAGATTGGGCTGCGGCAGCTCCCGTGCTGGCTCCTGCTCCTGCGACGGTCTTTTCGTCTCCCTTGCTCTGAATAATTCCGTTTTTCAGATCCCGCTGCGCGATGTTCTCCTCGATGGAAATACTCTTGTCTAGTGGAATGTTGTTCGGATTGTCTGTCCCGCGAAACCCACTCTTCGCCTTCATCTGGTTCTTGAGCGATTTGACCTGCTGAGTAGTACCTGCTCCATTCGCAGTTGCATTTGTGTTGACGGCAGCTGGGACTGGTGCAGCAACTTGTGCCGCGACCGATGGTATAGGGAGTACAAGAGGTGGTGCACCTGCTGGAGCTCCTCCTGCACCACCACCACCTCCTGCTGGGTCGTCGATAATTATCTGGTTGGCCGGATCACTCGCGGGGAGAAAAGGGTACGGCAACTGCTGCTCTGGAGCAACGGCTGGGGGCTGTTGCGGCGCGGTCCAAGCACGAGCGGAACTTGACGGAGGGGGCCTCATTGGCGCGTGGCCCGGCGGGGGAAGCACGGCTGGCGTGAAGTGCTGGGAAGAAGAAGATGAAGATGCTGGAGCAGCAGTACCACCTCCCGCTGTTGCAGCAGCCGCGCCTGTAGTACCGGGAGCTGCACCTCCCACCTCCCCTGCAGGAGCACCAGGTGCTCGTCCTGACTGTACCAACACAATGTTCGACGCGTTTTGAAATCCGGGCGGATGCTCCCCGACCGGCTTGTGGTTCGCCAAAATCAACGGGAGCGGCGGTGGGGGCGGAAACACCGTTCCCCGTTTATTGAGAGGAAAAATCCCCCCTCCCCATATCGAAAACGTATCTTTTCGAAAATTTGCGTTGCTGATTTGAGGTCAGAGATCACATTTGTCTTGCAAGAAGACAAGGGCAGAAGCTTCCGCCCCATTATGGAAGCGATTTGCCATGCTGTTGGGCCTAAAGGTCAGCCGTTTGCAATGCTGAACAACTAGACCCATACGCCCCTACCTAGCCTGGGGATCTGGCCGCAAGAACGCCCTCCTGCAATACAAATCTGATTTGTGTACGCAAATCCAGCATCACAGATTTCCTTTTTGATATGGGGAGGGGGGATTTTTCCTTTTCATACCGTGGAGCCCACTTTCGGCATTCGTGGAGCGCGTGGATGTAAAAGTGGAGTTCCTTTTGCAGATTTTGGGACAATATGGATTGCAAAAATGTCTGGGTCTGGAAGAGTGCCAGACTTGTGACGCAGGTTTTGCATGACGTGTGAGGTCTGTGATGCATGCCGTAGCATCACAGATTCTGTGAGATCTTTACCATGCCTTTTCCGCATGAGAAACTGCCTCTCGGCCTTCTCAAAAGTGAACAGCCTAATTGGTAATCATGCAACGCAGATTTTTGTATGATTCAGTTTCAGATTTAGCATGACAAGTTGCACTTTTCCAGACCCAGACATTTTTACAGTTGATAGACAAGATCTTTCCGAGCGGGAGCTTTATTTGGTCCCCGTTCGCCGGCAGCCGCTGGATCTCCCTTTCCGCCCACAGGTACTGGTTGGCCAAGGACTGACAAATCGTGTCCTGCTCTGCGAGCAACTTTTTCCGGCTTGCGTCCACGTCCATCATCTTGCCAATGGTCCGCACCTTCTGCATGAAGTTGTTTATCCTCGTCTTCTATGGATTGTAAAAATGTCTCGGTCTGGAAGAGTGCGCGACTTGTCATGCTGCTTTTCTGTGACCCATGAGGTCTGGAATGCAGGACCTAGCATGACAGATTCTACGAGACCTTTCTAATGCCTATCCTGCATGAGAAACTACCTCCCGACTTGGTCAAAACTGGACGACTTTTGGTAATCATGCAACGCAGATTTTTGCATGCTGCAGATTTAGCATGACAAGTTGCAATCTTCCAGACCCAGACATTTTTACATTTGATATCTTCAGAAAACCCCTCGCGTGCTTGTCCACAATGCACTTCTCAAAGTTGCCAAAAAAGTTATGAACTGCAAAAGCATCGTACTCGTATAAATGCATTACAAATTTCCTCAGCATGAGAAATAAAATTTGTAATGCTGATTTGCCTTGGGAACAAGATTTGTGATGCAAGACTTGCATTTATACGAGTACGATACTTTTGCACTGGATAAAAGTCCCTTGGCGGCAAATTCCGGCTGTTCGCGTTCTGTGCGGCGGCGTGGTGATGTTGATGTGCCTCTTGTTCGGGTAACGACGACGAGACTTGGCCGTCTACTTGGGCAGCAAGACCGCCGGTTGTTGTAGCTTGTTGCAGCTGCGCTTGTTGCAGCTGCGCATTGTTCGGTGGAACGTATTGGCCCGGACCATAAGCGATTGTGACGAAGGGTTGCGGCGGAGGCTGTTGTACTGGCACTGGTGGAGGCTGCATCACCACTGGAGGAGGGGCAGCTCCTGGATGTTGACCCACAGCAGGAGCTGCGTATGGATTCATCGCTGAAGTGGCAACAAGAGCTGGCTGCACACCATAGGGAACTGGCGCCCCGTAGGGGGGCGGCGGGTGCATCGGATGATATCCAACCGGCAGCATCGTTCCGTGTGCATGAGTCATCTGCGGGTTGTAATATTGTGGAACCAAAGGAGGTGGTGCCATCATCATTGCACCAGGAGGTGGAGGTGGTTGTCCTGCGACACCAGGATGTTGAACCAATCCTGGATGTAGTTGTCCGTGCATCGGCGTAGGCTGTGCGATGTGGTGCATCGGTGTCCCGGCAACCGGCGGCGCAGGACCACCGTGCGGTCGGGCGATCATACCCAGGGCAGATGAACTCCCAGGCTGTTGCTGGGCTTGGTCAGCTATTCACAGGAAATTTCCCGTACACGACGAGTACGGCGAATAAGTGCGGTTTCTGCAGCATGACAAAAGAGCAGCTTTCTTATCTTTCAATGATCTAGATCTTTCTTATTGATTCAGCATGATAAGTACTTACTTAAGTGGGATGCTGATGCTCTAAGTTCGTGAAATTTGTGATGCGCTTTTATGTTTCTCTTTACTTCTGTGCGTGATGTACTAGTACGGGGAAATCGAAATTTGTATTGCATATCAGCAGCAGTGCTTGGCGGCTTCTTCTTGGAAGATATAAATTCGTCTTCTTCCTCCACCGTGCCCGTGCTTTCCTTTCGGTCTTTGGACTTGTTCTCCGCGGCCACTTCTTCTATTCTCGGCAACTGCGAAGCCGTCAAAACAAGCTTCTTTTTCTCACAGCTTCTTTCCTTCACCGATTCTAAGTATTTGATCGGGTTCCCCTGAATGCAGTAGAACTGCAGAGCGAGCAGTGTTTTCCAGGGACACACCACCGTTGCGGATACACGGTTGATGCAGATGATCTGCACGTAATTTGCCTGTTGAAAGATGTTGTGGTACTGTCCCGCCAGGAATTTTGCCTCCGACGCAGAGTGGAGCAGGAAAGTGTTGACCAGTCGCACCGCCTGCTTCCGCGGCCTTCGCCTTTGGGAGAGAACTTCTACCTCAGGCTTTCCTTGTCGGTCGCCAGTTGCAGTATTCACATTTTCCCCTCCAGCGCCTGCTGATTGTGCAGCAGGAGCTGCGTTATCGCCAAGTAAAATCTTCTCCCAGGAAAACGCGGATAAGCTGTTTTTCTCTCGACTTAACTATTGTGAGGAAAAATCCCCCCCCCCATATCCAAATGAGGTCTCTGATGCTGGATTTCTGTACACAAATCAGATTTCTCTTGCAGAAAGTGCTTGGCGACATTTTCTGAGCCTGTTAGGGTATGCGGAAGGCTAGCAGTTACGCATGGCAAACAGTTTTGCAGCAGGCAAAGGCGCATGACAGACTGGCTCTGGAGTGCGCCACATGGCTCCTATTACCCTATAGGCAAGACAAAGAGGATTTGTGGTCACAAATCAGCATCACAAATTTCCATTTTGATATGGGGACGAGGAGGCATTTTTCATTTTGATATGAACGCGGTCAAAACCCCGACCGAGGGATTTTTATCCTGCTCCGCCTTCAGGGCTTGCACCCACGCCTCGCACATTGCCCGTTTCACAATTTCGTACGCGTCCACGCACTTCGCTTCCTCCAGGAGGTCGTCTATTTCGTCGTTCTCTGACTCTTTATTTTCGGGTACTTTGATAGAATTCACCCGGCTCAAGAACGGTAAAGACAAATCGGCAGTTGATGTAGTACCGCTGCCTGTAGTTCCACTTGTTCCGCCAGTCTTATTATCCCTCTTCTGCTGCGAGGCGTTGACAATCTTCACGATCTCGTCCGCCTTCTCACTGAGCAGCTTCTGCTTCTTTGCCGGCGGCCCTCTTGTTGTGTCGAATCTCGACTCTTTGATCGCCGCTGGCGGCTTCTCGAGAAGGTTTTCGTCCTGGTGAATCTTCACGATCTTCTGCAACAACTGGAGGTGGTCTTCTAGTTCAATTTTCAAAACCGCGAAGGCATTCGCGACGGGGACGACCGGGATGGGCTTGCTGCCGACGAACTGGCTCGGGTTGGAAGTGGACGATGAACCAGTTGCTGCCGCATTGTTGAACAAAGACCCCCCTGCTGCTCCAGCAGTCCCACCAACATTACCCCCGTCCTTCTTGTTGTCCATGTTCAACTGCGCCAGGGTAGTTGTTGTACTATCGGCACTACTTAAGGTTTTGTTGATGGAAACTTCTTGCTTGTGACACTCCACGTTCTCTTCCAGCAGCAACAGAGGCAACGGATCTTCTGACGTGTAGCGACTGTGGAGCAAAGCCTGCCTCTGATTTCCGTTGGAGATCAGCGTCTGCATGATCTTGCTTTTGTTCAAGAACGGCTCCAGTGTCAGCAGCTTCTTCATCACCTCGATCTTCAGTTTTTTCGATTCTGCGGAATTATCCTGCTCGGTTTTCTTTTGCTTGTTGGTGGCTAAATGGTTTAAAGAGTGGTCGTTGGTCGAGGTCGGCAGCCCCAGGAGTTTGAAGAAGTTGTCCTCCACAGAAACAGAATTTTTAGTATCCGCGTTTATTTTATTGTTGTTCATTGGTGCGGGCGGTTTCAAGACCTTCGCCCCTGGCTGGTCCTGCGCCCGCCAAACCGTTTGCATCACGGCTTGTCGCTGACTCTGCTGGGTCGACGTGCTCGTCGTGGCTTGCGCGGACACTTGCCGGAGACGGTCCTGTATGGAAAGATTCTGGTCGCTCGGATGGTGGTCTGGAGGTAGTTGCGCTGTAGTTATTGAGGGAGACGCAGCGGCGGGGGCGGTGGTTCCAGAAGCAGTCAATGCTGGAAGTTCTTCACCGTCCAAATCCGATACAGCCAGCATGTTCGACGTTTTGTTCGAAGAGCCCGCGCCGAACAGCCCCTGCTCCTTCTTCATCTTTCTCGAGAACAGCAGTAAATCCTCAAATCTGCTTGCCGCGTTCTCCTCCTGTTTCTTGAACCCCTCCTCTTTCATCTCCGTAGCCTCGTAAATGTCGCAGTGCGTCAGCACCGGGTCGGTGCAGCTGGCCGGCTGCATTGCCGGGTTTTTGGTTCTGCTTGTTCCATCTGGCAGTTTGTTCACCGCCCAGTTTTTCGCGTCGAAAGGGAGACCGACCTGCTCCGGAGCCGGCGCGGTTAAACTCATCGCACCGGCGGGTGGAACCCATGGTTTATCCTCCGATTTCTTCCGGGGCACGGTTTCCGGGTTCATGGAGAGAAAATTGCTCATGTCGCCCGGTTTCCGGTTTTTCCACACCCCGCTGTGGGCTTCCAGAATCTCCTTCGCCGTGGCCCGTCTCTTCGTATGGATTGCAAAAGTATCGCACTCGTATAGATGCATTACAAATTTCCTCAGCATGAGAAATAAAATTTGTAATGCTGATTTACCTTAAGGAGAAGATTTGTAATGCATGACTGCAATGCGAGTTCGATACTTTTGCACAGGATACGTCGTGTAGAGCAGCGACTGGAAAATCTCCACTCCGGAAGCGGTCAGCGCGTTCGTCGCGGTTGGCTTCACATCGAGTACTTTCTCGAATGACAGTGCACAACTCCCCCTCCCCCTCATTTGTCATGCAAAACACCAAATCCGGACTGTGCCTCTTGGCACTGTTTGCATGACAAACTCCGGAAGCCCAAATAGCACTACAATCCTGTGCAAATTTGTCATGCAAAACGAAAACCTGCATTCTCGCTGGCGGTTGTATTGCCATGCATGCGATACAAATGATGGGGAGGGGGAGTTGTGCACTGTCATATCTCGCCCAAGTGGCTGCAGGTGGTGGTGCTGAGAACTCCCGCTTTCATCATGTTGGACAGAGAGCAACCGGAGCTGCTGGTGGAGCAACGGAGCAACCCGGTGAAAACGCCCTCTGTTAAGGCGGGAATGAACTTTTCCGTAAAGAACTTGTCCGGTTCGCGGAGTAAGTGTAAATCGACGATCCGCGCAACGTCCTGAACCGACCCCGGCTGCCGCGTCGCTTGCTGCATCTTGACCGAGAACTCGGAGACCCCGGGCTGCATCAAAATCCGGTAATTCCCCTGCATGTTCTGCAACTGCGCGGAACCGAACCCCGTTTTCGAGGATATGGGGTTCTCAAGCGTTACATTCTCAACTGTTACATGATTTGTCATGCAGAATTGCCTTCAGAATCTACACCATCAAGCTGCTTCGCATGACAAATTCTCAGAGGGCCAAACAGGCCGATAATCGGCGCCAGATCTGTCATGCAAGACGCGCAAGATCTCTCCTATCACTTGTGCCATTCTTCCATCACAAATTCATGTAACAGTTGAGAATGTAACAGTTGAGAGAGCCATAGAGGAAGGGTGCGCCCCCGCGGTGATGTTCAGAGATTTCTCCCGCACGTATGAAAGTGCACAACCCCCCTCCCGCTTATTTGTCATGCAAAATACCCAATCCACCCTTTGCCTCGTGGCACTGTTTGCATGACAAGTTCTGGTAGCCCAAATCGCACTAGACTCCAGTGCAAATCTGTCATGCAAAACCGGCACTCTTGCTGATGCTTGTGTTGCCGTTTATGCTATACAAATGAGGGGGAGGGGGACAACTTGTGCACTGTCATAGGACGCGGGCAAACTGCGACGCAACGTCGGTGAATAACCGCAAAGACCGGATATCACAAGAAAAAAGTGTTACAGTTACACATTTGTTGGGGTTTCCGCATCACAAATTTTCTCTGTATGGCAGACAAAACTTGTAATGTAAAGATCATAAGGGAAAATACGTAGGAAACCAGGCTCGCAAGCATTTCCTACATGACAAAGGTTGTCTGTCTTGCGGCTCCTGCAACACAATGTGTAACTGTAACACTTTTTTCTTTGCATACCGGAGCGAATTTTTCCACTGCTCCATCTGGAACAAAAGCAGTTCCAATATCCTTTGCAAAAGTATCGCACTCGTATTGCACTTATGCATTACAAATTTTCTTCTTAAAGTAAATCCACATGACAAATTATATTTCTCATGCTGGGGAATAAATTTGTAATGCGTTTATACGAGTACGAATACGATACTTTTGCAATCCATATCCAAATACCGCACCCGATCCTGAATCGGCGCGGTATTGTAGCCCACCGCGTTCTATCAAATGCAAAAGTGTCTGGGTCTGGAAGAATGCATGTTTGTCATGCCTGTCTGGCATAACTCTGAAATCTGTCATGCACGTTGCCCAAGAGCTCCACTTCTCTGTGATGCAGAAACGCAGTTTGTCATGCAGAATAGGCAACACCTAGAAGCTCAGAAACTTGTCATGCTGAGCCAGCATTTGTGGCCTCATGATGAGACGCCGCCCAGCATCACAAGTTTCCAGACCCAGATATTTTTGCATTTGATACGTTCTCAAATCCGCACTTCACCGCCACCCACCCGGTTCGCCTCATTTCAAACGCCTTTGCCCGCGCCCAGGGCGAGCATTCCGCTTCGATGGCCAGCAGCTCCGGAAGCGGGTCCGCCCCCGGATCTGATAACGCACCCTGTCGCAGTTGGTACTGGGCGTCGGTGTTGGAAACTAATGTGTGCTGGTCCTGTTCGTTCGTGCTCCACATGCTTCCTGCTTGCGGGTTCCAGCTGTTGGTCTTCGCGGCGAGACCCGTCGTATTGTTGTTCATCATGTTGCCCCCTCCAAAAATCCCATTATTCTGCGGGCCCTTTTGCTCGTGGATCATGTAGTACTTCAAATGCTGCGGCTTGTACTTCCAAGTGTGCTCGGGTTTGTTGTACTGCGCGATTCCCCAACAGGGCAAAACGTCCGACTCGTACTGCAACGAGTCCTTCGGAATGAACTGCCGCGAATGGGCCCGGCTGTACTCAACCAGGAGTCGCACCGCGTCAGCGAGGGGGGAAGAGGTGAGGACGTGGTCTTTGTTAGTGTTACTGTCCCCGGTAGAAGTTGATGTTCCGGTGCTCGCATGACTTCCGCCACCCGCACTCCCCGCATTCATCGCGTTAATATTTTCTTCTTCGGAAGCCCCGGGTACAGCCGTTCCCTTACTCGAGAATTTGTCATAGTCCGCCTTCTTCATCACAGGTCTATTGAACTTGTCAAACTCAACCTTCCCCTTCAGCGTGTCAATCGGCTTTTCGCCCGGTTTTAGTAAAGGGATTTTGTTCGGGTTTTTGATGTGATGTTCTACTGCAGATGATGAAGCAGCCGCAGACCCTGGTTGTTGTATACCAACCGCGGAGGAACCAGCGGGCACCGCAGCCGTGTTTGTTTCCGTTGCCAGGGTAGTTGCTGCGGCACTTGCTGTTGTCGTGCCACCTCCTGCTGCAGCTGCCGCTGCGTTTATTGTCGTGTTCATCAACATATCCTCTGCAAAAGTATCGTACTCGTAGTATGCAGTTATGCATTACAAATATTTTTCTTATCGGTGAATCAGCATGACAAATTTCATTTCTCACGCTGAGGAGATTTGAAATGCATTGATACGAGTACGAGACTTTTGCAGTTCATACAACAGCAACAAATTGTCGTTCCGCCCGTAGTTTTTCGAGGTATCCAGATCGCCGTCCTGCGCCTTGGCCGCCTGCCCTGCGGCCAATCCGCCGCCAACGTAAGCCCCGTTTGTCATCTTCAACTTTCCAGTCATCGGATTGGTAATCGGGTTCTTGTCGTCCTGATGTTGCTTGTTGATTGTCCCATTCGGATCGAAGTTCTGCGGCGCAACGAACTTTGCGGTCAATTCCTCAATCAAGTGCGGAAACGCGGACAAAGCAGCGAAAGCGAGACTGTAGTCCTGCAGTCTCTGCTGCGCACAAAGGCCGAGGGAGGAATGGAGAAGTTTCGCGAGAAGTTGAAGCCTCTCATTATTCACGTTCTCATCCTTCCCGCCCCGCACTGCCATCCCGGTCTCGATATCTCGGAGCGCTGGGATGATCACCTCGGGAGGCGCGACGCCCCGGTTGGCTGGCTGAGGCAGATCTTGGAGGGAAAACTGCTTTGATACTCCTGTGGGAACAACACCAGCAGCAGCAGCAGCAGCTGCCCAAGGATTATTTAACGTCGCATTCGCAGCAGCGCTAATATTATCCGCTTTCTTTTTCATTTTCTGCTTCTGTTCGTAGAGTTTCACGTATTCGTCCGCCAAATATTTATGCACTGCAAAAGTATCGTACTCGTATAATTGCATGACAAAATCCCTCAGCATGAGAAATAAAAATTGTATATGCGGATTCACATTGAGAAAAAAATTTGTAATGCATGATTGCGATACCAGTACGATACTTTTGCACAGGATAATATTTCTCCGGAAACAAGTCACTCGCGGTCAGCTGGACGGAATTCGCGGCAAGGTGTCCCTGAATCAAGAGCAAACCTATCCTCGGCGCGATTACCGGCAGTAAGTTGATCCGCCACCCTAAAGGGGTCACCACCGGGTGGCCGTTCCGGACCTGCTCTTCCAAAGTCTCGATTTTCTCCTTTTTGAACCCGAAGTCTAACGTCGAGACAATTCCGTCCAAAGGTTTTACCCGATCCGCGGCCAGTTGCATCATGGAACAAAAGTATTCCTTCAGCTGCTCGGGTAAAAAGCTGAAGTCCCTCGCGGGCGTTTTGGTCAAACACTTCAAACCGAGCAAGCGCTTCTCCGCTTTCTTCAACTGGACAATCGAGGGCGGTCTGGGGAGCTGGTGGAGCAAGGAGACGAGCAAATTCGAATACGTTCTTTCCCCCCGGTGCTGCGGGTTGTGCTCTGCTGCGAGAAGTAGGTCGTCCTTGAAGATCAGATCCTGGATCAAATGTGCCTGGAGGACCAGCTTGTCGAGTTCGTCTTCTTGGAAGTTGTGGTAAGCCTCGAAGAGAGCGGCTTTTGGCAGGTCTTTTTCTGATTTAGCGCCTGAGTTTGATGCTGTACTATTTTCTCGTCCCTTGATGTTTCCTCCTGATGTATTACTCGTTGCCACTGCAGCATTGTACGCCACCGTGTTCACGATTTTGAACCCCGCGGCCTCCATCTCCTCCGCCTCTTTTTGCCGCTTCCCCTCAAAAACGAGTGCTTTGTCCAGGTCTTCGCCGATAGCTAACTGAGCTAGGATGGACGCCCGGAACTTTTTCAACTTGGAACCCCAGTTGACAAATTTCCCCAATCTCCTCGCGCAGTTAAAAGGGTCCTGGTTGATTGTCTCCTCGCGTTTCGGGTCTGGTAACGCGAACAAATCGTGTTCTTCATCCCCGGAGGAATTTTCGTTGTCGGAGTTCTTCAACTGCTGGTGATATCAAACAAAAAAGTGTTAACGTTAACGGTTTCATTGCAAACATGCATGACAAATTTTGCCTAGGGCTTGGAGTAGGATGCATGCTAAGTATGCATGAAAAATTTAGTTTTGGGCACGCTTTGATGTGATGCATTGGTTACTGCGTCACAAAAAAATCCGTTAACGTTAACACTTTTTCCTGACATAGGTGGTCCTCGAGGTCCATCTTCGCCATCTGATTCTTCGTTAAAATCCCGAACGCCTTTGCTTGCTGTTTTTTCAGCAGAGTTTTCGCCCTCAGTTTCTTCCTATGCATTGCAAAAGTATCGTACTAGTACAAATCGCGTGACAAATTAGCTCAGCGTGAGAAATGGAATTTGTCATGCTGATTTACCTTGGGATGGAGATTTGTAATGCATGACTGCGATTACTACGAGTACGATGCTTTTGCACAGGATACTTCCGCCTCTCCACTCCGTAGTACTTCCCCGTCCGGGCCACGTAGTCCCCGAGCTCCTTCGTGAAGTAGTCGCGGATTAGATGCGACGTGCAAGCGGAATCTTCGACTTCCTCCGAAACTTTCTCCTGATCTGCGAAAGTGCTGCTGTACAGGCGGAAGACAATACCGTGTTGCAAAACCGCAGTGCGGCGCAGGTTGAGAACTTTCGCGAGTTGCATTTCGCTGTTCTGCAAAGTAGCCGCAGCACTAGCAGTTTGCGATTGCTCATGTTCATGTTCCTCGTCGGACGACACTTCGCTATTTTCCTCCTCGGACGACTCCTCCTCATCCTCATTCGCCGCACCAACTAATCCTGGTTTCGCGAAGCCGGGGGTCAGCAATCTGACCGGCCGTAGGCTGGACAAGTGCAAGCCCCAACAGGAGGCATTCTTCTCGTGGGTTTTGGTCGCGGCCTCTAAAGCTAAAGCTTTGAAACTGTTCTTCTTCCCGATTGTCTCCTCGGAGGAAAGAATGTGTTTGGAAAGCAATAATTGGTCTGGCAAAGGGATCACAAGCGATCTCCCGCCGGTCACTCTGGTTTTCCGCGTGTCCATCAACAACTTCGAGATCCGCTCCACCGAAACGGATTCCTGCGCCACGTTTGCGTGCGTCACGGGATCGGTGGTGGTAGCGGGGAGCATTCTGCCGGAATCTAAGACGTAAACGACGTCTTCGATCGTACACGCGTAATCCACCATGCCCGGTGTTGCGAGGATCACCTTCCTCGCGAAATGCAGTTCTAATTGATCCGCATTTTTGTCCCCTTTCACAGGACCAGGTTCCGGCGCGACGTACTTTCCCTTACCTTTTTTTCCTTTGTTACCTTTTTCTTCTTCCGTCGGGAACATCATGCGCGGCGCGTAATTTCGGGCGCCCACTGCTTCGGAAGGCAATAAGCCACTCGTGGGACTGGATGCAGCAGCTCCTGCACCGGTGGTGCTGGCAGACGAAACCACCACAGCTATTCTGTGTAAAAACGTCCCCACCCCAGAGTCAAGATGGGCGACATCTCGCAACACAAATCCAGAAGCTTTGGGAGTCACGCATGACAAGTTCCTCTCTGCATTGTAGTGCAGTTTAGCAAGTGCAGCCGCATCACAAAGCCATCTACTTATCCTGTTGACAGCATCAGAAATTCCAAAACACGATTGGAAATGCTTCTCATGGGAATGCGCATTGCAAATCTTCACTTCCTACAATTCCAAATCTGCATGACAACTCTGACATGGTGGGGATGTTTTTGCATTAGATAACAGCCGGCTTGTTCCGGTCCAAGGTCGGGTTCAGACTGGAGTCCGCAAACGGGTTCGTGCTGTCGTTCATCGTATGGATTGCAAAAATGTCTGGGCCTGGAAGATTGTCAGGTTTGTCATGCAGCTTTTCCATGACCCATGAGGTCTGAAATGCAGGACCTAACATGACAGATTCTGTGCGATCTTTCTCATGCCTATCCTGCATGAGAAACTCCCTCACGACTTGATCAAAACTGGACGACTTTTGGCAATTATGCAACACAAATTTTTGCATGCTTCCGATTTAGCATGACAAGTTGCATTCTTCCAGACCCAGACGTTTTTACAGTTGATACATCGGATTCGTGAAAAGCGAACTGGCATACACCTGCCGCTCCAGTTCCTCCGCGGACATGTGCTCGCCGAGTGTGAGCACTTGCCACCGGGATAAGAGCAGCGGGTTAAGAGTTTTTCTCCCCGAAGAACCACCTCCCTTCCCGTCCGGATTCTCCCCACCCGCGGGCCCGTATTCCGCGTACGCCTCTTGCACCTTCTCCTTCAGTTTTTCCTGGTCTTCCTGCTCCTTCCGCAGCTGTTTCTTTTGCGCTTTCGTTAACTGCTTTCCGGTCCTCGCGTCAAGAACTTGCTGCTCCACGTTTTGATGTTGAGAACTCCCGCCCATATTTTTGAACCGCTGCGTTTTGTCGAACGTGCCGACCGGGTTCGTCACCGCGTGATACATGCACTTCCGGTTGCATTTGCGCAGTTTCTCCTGTAGCTGCAAGCAGTCGTTCCAGGTAGGGAGAATGATCAAAACCGTCCCGGGGTCCATTTCCTTCTGCTCCGTCATCTGCTCGATCAGTTCCGGGGAAAAGTGCTCGCGCAGAGCGGCCTCCTGCCCAATGGAGGGGGGCTCTTTCAGATGTGCATTAGCTGTACTGGAAGAGCCTGTGGAGCTTGCAGCAGCTTGCGGTTGCTGTTGTTCTTGCGCTCCTCGATTCGCAGAACTTGTTGCACTTTCACCTTGCTTCACGGAATTCGGATTCACGACCTTTGGTGCAGCCGCCACGAATCCGCGAGTCGCTACTCCTGCCCCAGAAACTGGTTGTTCCGGAGCACTACTAGCAGGTTTCTCTGCAGGTTTTTTCGGGAACAGCGGATTTGGATTGTCCTTCGTCGAATACTCTCGAAAGAGCGGGCCATTCTTCTGCCGGTTCGCCACGATCGACGCACCGACCGCCTGGCTACTGGTCGTCGCCGGCTTTGTCGGAGCAGCTGCCGCAGCGGCCGCAGTCTTGTGGCCTGGCCCGGCGGTGAACGTGTTAAAGACTTTCGGCATCACCGGCTTCTCCACTTTTTTCGCGGTCACGTCCAGATGGAGCTGCTCCGCCATCGCTTTTCGGATCTGCTCGGTGTACTTCGCACGCCGACGGAGATTCTCGATTTCATACTGGTCGATCCAGCGCAGCAACGCGCGGATCATCTCAAAATTCACCCCTCTGCCAAACCGGTCATTTCCCTCCACTCCGTCCATCATTTTCGAGTACACAGCCGCTTTCCCCGTTACCGGCAACCCAGACCGCAGCAACTTCTTCTTCAGCTTCGCCTCCTTTTTCGCCTGCGCCTCCCGCCGGGCTTGCGCCCGCGGGTGCTCGTTGACAAAGAGCTGCTCCGGCGGTTTCCACACGCGCGCCTCAATCGTGTGCGAGCCCGTGGCGGCGAGCTTCTTCGCCTCGAGTCGCTTTTCCAGCGCCTCCGCGCCCTGGTCCTGCAGCCGCTTCATCATCTCCCGCTCCTTGATTTTCGCAGCCGCTGCTTCCGCCGTCGCCAAATCATCCTCCAATTTGTGGAAGACGACCTGCGCCGCGCCCTGCTTCAGCACCGCGACCGTGTGGGATTCCCCGGTGTCGACGCCGCCCAGCGCGTCGGTGTACAGTTTTTTCCGCCTTTGGAGCAAAACCTGCTTCTTCGCTTCCACGATTTGATCAACTAGTTCCTGGTTCCCCGTCAGCGTCGCCTCCTTGTAATCCTTTTCCGCGGTTGCGGAGGTCGCGACCGAACCCAGTCCGGCCTTGATGATATAAGGATTATCCTTCTCCAACTCGAGGGTTTTTACGAATTTCTTCCGCTCCGTATGAAAGCCTCAGAATGGCAATCCTCAAAGTGGAAATAATTTGTGATGCATGAAATGCGACGCAAAAAAAGACTGTATTGCAGAGGACGCAATGGAGGCCGACTATTGTCCTTCTACGGGTTAAGAATTGGAGTGCTAATTAGCACGAGAGAGGGGCTCTCCTTTGCCTTAACCTGCATGACAGACATGCTTTGAGTGCCCGGGAAATTTGTCATGCGACACCTAGAAGTGGCGCGCCAACTAGAGTGTTTTTTTGCATTGCAAACTATTTCCACTTTGAGGATTCCAAACCTGAGGCTTTCATACTCCGCCGCCTCCTTTTTCGTGACCGGGCCGAGGGACTTCGGATTTTCCTTTTGCTCCTATCGCGAGGAAAAATGCCCCTACTCCCAAAGTTGCAAAAATTTGTGATGCGACGTTTTCAAATGAAAACTTTTTGTCATGCATGCAAGGAGTACGAACCTTTCTGCTGCAGAGTCTAGGCGTGTGTCGCATCGCTTGCATGACAAGCGCCGCTCTTGCTGGGATCTTCTGCAATACAAATTCTTGCTATTCACGATCGGAAATCTGTGATGCTGATAGATGCAAGAAGGCGAATGTCTAATTTGGAAAGGTTTGCAATACAAGTGCTCCCAAGTAGTTCTGGGGTGGGGGTATTTTTCATGGTAATAGCTCCAGCTCCGCTTTCTCTCTCTCCTCCTGCGCCGCCATCTCCGCCGCGTACGGGTTGAGTCGCTGCTTTTTCGCCTTTCTGGATTCTGCGTTGGCCCGGTACGTCCGGAGCTCCTTTGACACGTTTTGCAGGAGTGTTGTCACGTGCTTTATGCAATACAAATTTCCCGCACATGTACCAGATGCTGTTGCTGCTGCATCACAAATTTTACCAATTTGGAGTGTACTAACACTTGTCATGCTAAACTAGGATCGGAGCCCAATTTTGTAATGCAGAGACTGCATTTGTTCCTCCTGTACGGGAAATTTATTGTGGATATGCTTGTTCGCCGTGACAAAATCCCTACTGTTCATCGCCTGCTGGGCCTTCTTGCACATGTTGGAATTCGGGGAATTCTTTAACATCGTCGATCAAAAGGAAAAATCCCCCCTCCCCATATCGAAAACGAAATCTGTGATGCTGTATTTGAGTACACAGACCACATCTGTGCTGCAGAAGAGCACTGCACGCAGATCGCAAGCGTAGGCAGGGGACTTTTGGTGTAGGCGCCTAGCATGGTAGATGGCTACCCTATAGGCCTTACACCATTACAAACCGCCGGCATAACGCGGCGAAAAGCCTGAGCTTGCCTGCTTGCAAGACAGATGCGATTAGTGGTCACAAATCTGCATCACAAATTTTCAGACGGATGCGCCTTCAATATGGGGCGGGCTGATTTTTCCTCACAGTATCGTCGTTACCCGGTTGTTAAACCCCTGCCAGTTCGAATCCTGCTCGGTTTTCGGCTTCGCGATGAAATCTTCGAACATGTCGACCAGCTGCTGCAACCAACGACATTGGAACTCCAAAACCCGGCCCCGGCTGTCGTTGCTCCGCTCGTCGTTCTGCACGAGTTCTTCGCCGTACGTTTTCCCGTCGATCTTGTCCAACACCCCAGACCCAGCCGCGATGTTGCTCGAGTTGCTGGAAGCGAGAAGCTTGACGGTTTTTTTATCCTTTTTCGAAGCTGCAGCAGCCACACTCGGCGTCTGGGCATCTAGCGCGTTCCAGCTCGCGGGGTCTGGATTCGCGCCGCGCTGGAGTTTTTTCTTGTCAAAGTTCGGGTCGTAGGAATCTAGCATTTCCGGTAGGCAGTCCAACTCCACCCCAACCAGGTCGTCGTCTTCTTCCTCGGTCGCGTCTTCATCCTCCGTATCAGCCCCGGCGGAGCGACGCTTGTTCGACTTCGGGTTGTTCGGATAGTGGTTCTGTTGGCTGCTCGTGCTTTTGCTTTTTTTGTTCTCTTTGCTGTTGGCAGCTCCCGCACCGTGCTTCGCGCCCGTTCGCAGCGGTGCCGCATAAACGTCCCACCTTTGGTCATCGTCTTTATCAAACTTGTAAAATTTGCTCGAGTCCGGACTTCGCCTCCCCGAGGCCGTGCCGCCCAGCTCCGGCGCCTTCCGCCCGCCGGAAAACTGAAACAAGCGCTTCTCCTGCTCCCGCGCGTCTTCGTAGAGCAAAGGCAGGTCGGTCCAGATGTTCGTATCCAGTAACTCGTTGAAGTCCGGCACTGGCCCGGCCACCGCCGCATGGTTCGGGTGTGCGTTGTTTTTTAGCATGGTGTTGTAGTATGTGTTGTCGACGCCGAGAACTCTCAAACTATACCCGACCCCCCGTTTCAACCTGCTGTCGTCGAACTTTTTCCGGTTCGATTCATTCTCCTTAAACGCGTGCTGGTGAGAAATCGCACCGATGCCTGGGTAGTTGTAAGATCCCGTCGTATGGGATTTGTCCGGAATTCGCGTGCCATACTGGTAGAAGTCGGGAATAATGTCCGTGAAAATATCCTCCGCGAAGAATTCGTGCACTTGCCGGTGTTCCACCTCCTCCAAACAAATGTTAGGCCGCTCGTGCTTCAGATTGAAGTTCGCGCTCGCGCTGTTCCCATCGTTCTCAAAAGCGTCCTCGAGCAAGTCCTGAACTTCGATCTTCTCGTTCAGTTCGTGCTCTTCATCAATGTCTTCGAGTTCGAACGTTCGATTGCCTCGCTTGTTCATGTTCATCCAGCTTGTGGATTTATTTATTCCGACTACCTGTGCATGATGAAGTTGTACCTCCCGCTCCTTCTTCGACGTGGGCAGGCTGTTTTCGTAGGCTTCCCGTAACTTTTTCGCTTCCTGCCTCAGTTTCTCCCGGGTTCTATTCTGGGTTTTCCGTTTCTGCTTCTTCATGTTCGCGAGCTTCTCCGCGGGGTATTCCTTTTCGTGCTGCTTCAGTTTCTCCATCGCCTCATGCATCTTCGCCCGGCGCTCGAGTAGAGGGACGTGGGCGTCCTTGATCCGGAGCGTCAGCTTTTTCCGTTGCGACTTTGACAACCCCTCTAGGTGTTTCGATGTGAACAGCAATTTGGCGCTCAAATCCGCGTTCGGGTCCTCCAAGAACTGCTCCACCCGTTGCACGCGGTCCTCCGTTTTGGCCGACGGTGCGATGAAGCTCGGCAACTGACTGTCGAGGAGCAAATCGGCCGCAGTCGAGAAGTTGTCCTTCAGTGCCTTGAATTTCTTCGCCGCGACCCGGTGTTGCACCGCCACGATCAACGTCGGGATGTAGTTTTTCTTCTCATTCTGCATGTTCTCGTCCGTTTCGAAGTTCCGTGCCTGTTCCGTGCCGAACTTGTGCACGCTGTGGTGCAAGGAAAACACCATCTTCCGCACCTCCGCCGGCAGCAGCCGCGTCATCTCAAACCTTGCGAACTGCAAGAAATTCGCAATCCGCTCGTGGTCCGGGAACTGTGACCCGCCGTCGGAGTACAGACCGATGATCTTCAGCGGGTTTGCCGTCATAGAGAAGGATCCTTTGCCGTCGGCGCCCAGCTTGCGTCTCCGGCAAACCTCCCGCAGGGCAACAACCGCAAGCTCGTAGGAGAGCGAAACGCCCTGCGCGCCGAACATCTGCAACTCGTCGATGATGACATAGTTCACCTCTGGCAAGAGACTCGCGGACACCTTCGTCCCACGGCCGCTGTCAAACGCGTCCTCATCGTCCATCCCGTACATCGCACCAGCCTGGAGATAGCGGAGCAAAATCTCCGGGGTGACAAAGATCAGATTCGTCGCGAACGAGACGTTTTGCTCGTTTTCGCAGTGGTAGCCCACGGAGTTCCCGACCCGCTGTCCCCGGTACCAAGCAACCCGGTTCGCCAGCGACATCGCGGTGACCTTGTAGGGGACCAGACAGAGAATTTTCTGTCCGGGCGGGATCCGCTCCAGTAACGCGTGCGGGATCTGGGTCGACTTCCCACACCCCGCGGGCCCGCGGACGAGAATGCAATCCACTGGCTCTGGGTGGAGAATCTGTTCGCTTCCCATCATGGACATAGAAGAGCTTGATGTAGTTCCTCCTACATTTCCTCCATGAAGCCCCGCCCCATTGCCAGCACCGGTGGAGGAGACGTGGTAGTGCAACGCCTGGTTATCCACAGTAAATTTCCCGTACACGTACAAATGCCGTCTCCGCATGACAAAACTTTGCTTCGATCCTAGTTTAATAGCATGACAAGTTTTATTACGCTCCAAATTGGTGAAATTTGTGTTGCATCTTGTACATGTACGGGAAATTTGTATTGCCTACTGGTAGATAAAATCCACCAACGCATCGGACGTATTGCCACTTCCATCCCCCTCCACCAACGTCGGACTCGCCGCGGGTACCTTATTTCCGAAGGTACTACTACCGCCAACAAGCTGCGACGCGGCTAAGCCGTGCGCGGCGGAGGAAGCCAGTCGGAGCTTCTTCCCGTTGATCTCGATAGAACTGCAGTACCCCGGATCATAGATGTGCGGGAAGGTGTTCATCCGCTCCTTGAGCCTTTCTTGGTACAGGTCTTCGTCGAACGCAATTAGCTGGAATTCGTCGTCTAATTTTTCCTCTTCCTCCTTCTGGTGCAATAAGTCGTTCACGTTGTTCACCTCGTTGAATTGGCTGTAGTTCGTACTGGTGCCCGCCGCCATCTGCGCAGTTCTTGTCATCGGCGGCCCGAATTTGGTCCCCGGCCGCTGCTGCTGTTGTTGACCCTGTGCCGCTGAACCGGAAAACGACACCACATGTGCGGGTCCGGCCCCCGGTATTTGTGCCGTGTTCTTGCTGTATTGCAAGTACCCAGCGGGGTGGCGAACCGCGCTGCTGGTTCGGTTCGTGCCCCCCTCACCGTGTTGGAACAACGCCCTCTCCTGCCGCGCGCCCATGCGGTTGCAGAAGTGGTACTCGTGCGAGAAGCGAAGGTAGGAAACTTCGCGCAGCCACTCGTCCCGCATGTTCACCGGCACGCAGATTCGAAGAATTTGCTTTCCCAACTCCCGCATCGCGGAGACGAGGCAGTGCATCCGCTCAAATTTTCTCTTCAAGGGCCACTCGGTGTAGTGCTTGTTTTCCTCTTCATACTCTTCATCTTTGATATGGTTCTTCTCTTCGCTCGACGCGGAGGACGCGCTCGATATCAAATTCGCACCTTTGACGTTCAAAATCGCGGCCTGCTTCGAGGCTGTTTTTATCGCAGGAAACTTCAAATCCGGAGAAGATAAAACATTCAGCTTCTTCACCGAATTCGGCGCCGTGGGCGGCCCGGTGTTGACAATCATGGAGGCGATCACCGCTTCGCGGTTGAGAAAGGAGTTTTGCAAGGGGTTGTCCCCGAGGAGTTTCAACCCCGTCATTAATTTCGCGAGCAAAGTCTTCAGCCCCTGGGCGAGAACCTCGTCATAGCTGAAGTAATTCATGTTCAGCATTTTAGCAGTAGTAGTACTAGTAGGGGCCGCAGCCCCTCCTGCGCCCACTGTTGCGAGCTGCTGCTGATCTATTTTCATCCCAGCAAGAGCCTTAGTGCCAGTCGTGTCGTCCTTCTTGCCCTGTTCTACTGCTCCAGTCGCACCAGCTGCATTGTTCCCCTGGTTGAGCTGCTGGAAGAAGTCTTGCACGCGCCAGCCGTACCTGACCGCGAAAACCTCTTCCATGGTGTGCTTTGTCCCCGTGCGGCAGAGGAGGAAGTTCTGCAGCTGCTTCGCCCAGTGCACCTCCTCGTGGTTAATCATCGCTCGGAACTGAATCATATTCGTCTCCGCCGCAATCCGAATCATGAAATAACGTCGCAGAGACGCAATGCAGTCCGCCCAACGACGGGCTTTGGCGGAACGGACGTCGTACTGGAGCAGGGCGATCAGCAGGTTGTGGTTGAAGACGGCAACCTGTGATATTTTTTTTGACAAAATTCTGCTACACAAAATTTTTCAGGCATCAGTCGCATGATGAAAGCGGGAATCTCGATCTTCATAAGTAATTATACTCAGCGAATTCAAATTCAGACGTTGCTACGTGATGAAGAGCGCATTATATTCAACAAATTGCTTTCAATATTCTTTTTCTAGTACGATCGCGAACAGCACTTCTGCGTTGATCCACTCCCCCGCGATTGAGGGCGCAGTTCCCAGCCCCCGCGCGCCCCCCGCTCCCGTCCCATAAGATACTACCCCGTGGATCGCCAACGCCTTCAGCCGGTCTTCCTGAAACAGTTTGTAGGCGTGCTTCACCAAACTCGGATTTGCGGTTGTAAGTAATTTACCACTAGCACTATCCACACTCACCCCGCTCGGGCCGATCTTTGTCCGCTTGCTGAGAAACGGGGCGCCCGGGCCGACGTGGGGAGACTTCAGCCACGCGTTGATACAGTTGCGAACTGTGGTTTTGACAATCTTCTCGTGTTTTTTAGTTTTACTCTTCGCGGCGGTAGCGGAATTGGAATTGTGATTGTCTCCCGCCGCTGCAACAGAGGATATTCCAGCATCCTTCTCAACCACCACTGCGCCTTCCATATCAAATGTAAAAATGTCTGGGTCTGGAAGGGTTGGAACTTGTGATGCTAAATCTGAATGATGCAAAAATCTGTGTTGCGTGAGTACCAAAAGCTGTCCGCTTTTGACCAAGTTGAGAGGGAGTCTCTCATGCAGGAAAGGCATGATAGAGATCTCAAAGAATCTGTCATGCTGGGTCTTGCATTCCAGACCTCATGGGTCCTGGAAAACCTGCATCACAAATCTTGCATTCTTCCAGACCCAGACACTTTTGCAATCCATATTCCATCGGAGACAGCAACTTCTCCAAGACGTCCACAGCAGTATGAACTGCAAAAGTATCGTACTCGTATAAATGCATTACAAATTTTCTCAGCATGAGAAATAAAATAAAAATTTGTAATGCGGATTTACCTTAAGACAAAGATTTGCAATGCAAGACTTGCATTTATACGAATACGGGACATGTAAAGCTGTGAGGTGTGCGTGCGCGCGCGCGTGCGTTTTGCGTGTTTTTGCGCGCGCGCGCGCGTTTTGTGGCGCGTTTGCGCGTGCGCGCGCGCGCGCGGAGCTGCGTTTTTGCGCGCACGCGCGCACGCACGCTTTTCAGCCAGGTGTGTGAGATGTGTGTGCGCGCGCTCCCGCGCGCGCTCCGGTGCGCGGCGCGCGCGCGCGCGGACACGGGGACCAAGAGGAGGCGCGCGCGCGCTTGCGCTCCCGCGCGCGCTCCTGTGCGCCGCGCGCGCGCGCGCGCACACGGGGATGCGGAGGGGACGCGCGCGCGCGCGCTCCCGCGCGCGCTATGGTGGGGGGCGCGCGCGCGCGCGGGGAGGGGGACCAGGAGGAGGTGCGCGCGCGCGCGCGCTCCCGCGCGCGCTCCTGTGCGCTGCGCGCGCGCGCGCGCGCACACGGGGGGGGGGCGCGCGCGCGCGCGCTCCTGTGCGCGGCGCGCGCGCGCACACGGGGATGTGGAGGGGACGCGCGCGCGCGCGCTCCCGCGCGCAGACGGGGATGCGGAGGAGGCGCGCGCGCGCTCCCGCGCGCACACGGGGATGAGGAGGAGACGCGCGCGCGCACGCACGTGGATGGGGAGGAGACGGAGCAGTCCACCGCTCTTGGTGGTTGAAAAAGGTATCTGTGCGTGAAGGCTCCAAAGGCCGAGCGTTGCCAAGCTACTCCCGACGGCAGGCTTGCGCCTGAAGGACGCTCTTTCTATTCCTGTTGCCCTCCAGACGCAATGTCCTACCCGCGCTCTTGCCTGGGAGCGCGTTTCGCTTGCGCGGTTGCTTGGGTGCGTGCTTGCTTCTGTGGCCAGGTTGTTCTACTGTGGCAGGTTGATCTTGGCCCATTTCATCAACCACCGGGGGCATCAACCCCACCACCACCCCACCCACCCTCGGACCGTCCGATGCAAGCAGGAGTGATGCAAGCAGGAGTTTGCGTCGGCTGAAGGCTCAGCGGTGGGCCGTCACGAGCCAGCGGCGGAACGAGTCAGCGGCGGCTCGGCCCAGTGGCGGCACGAGTCGAGTCTGCGGCGGCTGTCACGAGGCAGCGGCGTCAGCGGCGGCACGAGTCAGAAGCGGCTGCCTGCCTGCATCTGCTCGAGCTGCCAGGCGCCGGGGGTAGGCAGGCAGCCGCCGGTGCCTCGTGGCGGAGCGGGTGTGGGTTGGGTAGTAGGGGCTGGCTCCCGGGCGTGGAGCGTGCCTGGCGCTGGTTGGTGAATGGACGTGCCTGGCGCTGGTTGAGCCAGCGGCGGCCTCCGGAGTCGCCGGCGGCCCCAGGAGTCAGCGGCGGGCCTCTAGTCAGCGGCGGCCCCACTGATCAACGGCGGCCCCATTGGTCAGCGGCGGCCCCTCCGTCAGTGGCGGCCCCTTAGTCAGCGGCGGCCCTCTGGCCAGCGGCGGCTCCTTAGTCAGCGGCGGCCCCATTGGTAAGCGGCGGCATCTTAGTCATCGGCGGCCCCTTAGGCAGCGGCGGCCCCTTAGTCAGAGGCGGCCCCATAGTCCGCGGCGGCGCCACTGGTCAGGGGCGGCCCTCTGGTCAGCGGCGGCGCTCTGGCCAGCGGTGGCCCCATTGGTAAGCGGCGGCATCTTAGTCACCGGCGGCCCCTCAGTCAGCGGCGGCCCCTTAGTCAGCGGCGGCGCCACTGGTCAGCGGCGGCCCCCCCCGGGAGTCAGCGGCGGCGCTCTGGCCAGCGGTGGCCCCTTAGTCAGCGGCGGCCCCATTGGTAGGCGGTGGCATCTTACTCAATGGTGGCCCCTTAGTCAGCGCCGGCCCCGTGGTCAGCGGCGGCCCCTTAGTCAGCGGCGGCGCCACTGGTCAGCGGCGGCCCCCCCCGGGAGTCAGCGGCGGCGCTCTGGCCAGCGGTGGCCCCTTAGTCAGCGGCGGCCCCATTGGTAGGCGGTGGCATCTTACTCAATGGTGGCCCCTTAGTCAGCGCCGGCCCCGTGGTCAGCGGCGGCCCCTTAGTCAGCGGCGGCGCCACTGGTCACTCAGGGGCGGCCCTCTGGTCAGTGGCGGCTCCTTTGTTATGGGCAGTCCCCGAACCAGGGGCAGCGGCGCGGCCCCATTGTCAGCCCCTTAGTCAGCGGCGGCCCCTTGCTGGGCGGTGGCCCCTTCGCCAGCGGAGGCCTCATTGGTCAGCGGCGGCCCCACGAGTCAGCTGTGAGTCTGTCAGCGGCGGCCCTCCGGTCAGCGACGCTCCCCGGCGATCTCACGAGTCAGCGGCGGCCCATCGGTCCGAGGGTGTCCAAATGGGTCCATGGGTCGCGGGCTGGCTGGCTGTCTGATTAAGGTGGACATGCCCTTGTCTGCCCGCCCCTTTGCCTGCGTGCCCTGCGCCTGGCCGGCTGATGTGGCTGATGAAATTGCCCGGCCCGCGAGCCAGCGGCGGCTCGGGACAGCGGCGGCTGCCTGCCTGCCCCTCCCCTCGCCTGCTCTGTGCCTGGCTAATGGTAGCCGCTGCTGTGCCTCGGTTGGTGGGGTTGATGCCCCCGGTGGTTGATGAAATGGGCCAAGACATAAACCGCGAACCGCGAACAAGGACGCGCTGCTCCCGGTAGAGGTTGAAGGCCAAGTTGGGGCCCACCTGTGCTGCATCGGGCTGTGCGCGTCCAACTATCTCATGGTGGGCCCGCTCTTGGTGCGCCGCATATGGGCCCGCCCTTGCTGCACAGAAAAGACTGACACCGTACCGCATCCGACCGCAGATTCGCGCCGCGATCCAATTAATATCATGGACCTTTGTAGCCTTCACGCACAGATACCTTTTCCAAGCGACAAGAACGACTGTGAACGCTCTGTCGCCTGCGTTCGTGCGTGCGTGCGCCCGCTCACGCGCGTCACATCCCCATCCCCGTGCGCGCACGCGCGCGTGCGCGCAGGATGGTGTGCGTGCGCGCGCGCGCGCGTGCGCGCAGGATGGTGTGCGTGCGCGCGCGCGCGCGTGCGCGCAGGAAGGTGTGCGCGCGCGCGCGCGCGCGTCCCCTCCCCGTGTGCGCGCGCGCGCGCGCGCCTCCTCCACACCCCCGTGTGCGCGCGCGCGCGCGCGCGGCGCACAGGAGCGCGCGCGCGCGCGCGCGTCCCCTCCCCGTGTGCGCGCGCGCGCGCGCGCGCGCTCATGCGCGCAGGAAGGTGAGCAGGAAGATGTGCGCGCGCGCGCGCGTGCGCGCAGGAAGGTGAGCAGGAAGGTGTGCGTGCGCGCGCGCGCGCGCGCGCTCGTGCGCGCAGGAAGGTGAGCAGGAAGGTGTGCGTGCGCGCGCGCGCGCGCGCGCTCGTGCGCGCAGGAAGGTGAGCAGGAAGGTGTGCGTGCGCGCGCGCGCGCGCGTGCGATTGAGAAGGAGATAAAGACTGGGGATATGTGCGTGCGTGCGTGCGCGCGTGCGCGCAAAAACGCAGCTCCGCGCGCGCGCGCGCACGCGCAAACGCGCCACAAAACGCGCGCGCGCGCGCAAAAACACGCAAAACGCACGCGCGCGCGCACGCACACCTCACACCCCTACATGTTGCGAATACGATACTTTTGCACAGGATAAGCAGGGTCGACGGTGAATTCTTCATCGACGTTTTTGTCCAAAAAGTTGCTCTCCGTTGCGGAATACGGGACGGAAAATTTCTCCTTGTTGATGTACGTGAATAACTGCTCGATCATCGGTAATTTCGTCTTTTCCACCGTCCTGTATTGCTGCCATTTTCGTCCCCGCGCATTCACCGCGACCGCCGCGCACTTCATGTCGTAGTCCGCGAGTTTTATCTGCGTGTTCTTGTCGTTCTCGGGCAGCGTGTTTCTCTGCTCCATGTCCTTATTCTGAGTCGCTTTCGCGTACTCCAACCGCTCCAACCGCTGTATTTCTCTTGCGAACGCCATCAGCCGGGCAAACGGGTGGCAGCGCTTCGCGAACTCGGAGATGGATGCGCCTAGTGCTCGTTTCGTCGCCTTCGTTAGGTTGTTGGACGCGAGAGGGATATGGAAGGGAGGAAGGGGGAAAGAATGATCATCCCGACTACCAGTCCACGATATTTCGTCGGTTGGTTCTGAAGAAGACCGCGAAATTTGAAAGTTTTATTTTTATTTGCACAGCCACGAAAGCGAAAACACAGGAGGAGTCGCCTTTTTTCAAACGGAATCCGCGAAATTTCAAAATTTTGTTTTTATTGAAGCAAAACGTTTGAGCATGTGCTTCAATTTTGGAACAGGAATCAGCGGAATTTCAAAATTTTATTTTTATTGAAGCGCGACACCCGAGAAGGTGTTTCAATTTTGAAACATGAAGCTGCGGAATTTCAAAATTTTACTTTTATTGACCCATGACACACGTTGAGCTCTTTTAATTTCGCAACACAAATCCGCGAAATTTTAAAATTTTATTTTTATTGGACCATGACGACAGAAGACGTGGTCCAATTTTGCAACGCGAATCCGCGAAATTTCAATTTTTTATTTTTATTGTTGCAGAACAGGAGAAGACGTGGTCATTATCACAACAATTATAACCGGGCATTTTTATCGCCAGCTGTAGAAG